TCACTCTGTAAACTGGGTTATCCTCGAACTCAGAGACAGGGTTTCTCTGTGGCTTAGGAAGCCATCCTGGAACTCACTCTGTAGACCAGGGATTTAAGGCGTGCACCACCAATGCCCGGCTCAAACCATGACTTTTATTACCACTGTCCATCATAGGGTTTTATAGTAACACATCCCATTTTTAAAAGATCTCTTACAATCCAATTTATGCAAAGTGAGAATAATTATTCCCATTTGACAAGAGAGGAAAGAGAGTAGAGAATAACACCATAGTATAATGGTGGTTTTATAATGGTATTTAGAAGGCAGAAAAACTCAGCGGCTCTAAAAGCTGCTAAGAGAGCCAAAGCTAAGTGAAGGCAGGTACCAGAGTGGGAACAAAGTATTGTGCTGTAGGCATAAGTTTCTGTAAAACCAATAGCTCCCCCAAAACCACACAGGCTTATATCAACTATAAATGCTCTGCCAATAGCTCAGGCTTGTTACTAGCTAACTCTTGCATTTAAATTAACCCATATTTCTTATCTATGCTTTGCCACGTGGCTTGGTACCTTTTTTCAGTACGGCCTGCCCATCTTGCTTCTCTCTGCTTTTGCTGGTGACTCCAGACTCTGTCCTTCTTCCCCCCAGCATTCTCAGTTTGGCTCTTCCGCCTAACTTATTCTGTTCAGCTACTGGCCAGTCACCTTCTTTATTAAACCAATCCAGCAACATATATTCACACAGTGTAAAGGAATATTACACATCGTACCAAAAGCTGGGATTAAAGGCATTTGCTGCCATGTCTGGCTTCTTTTATTATTAGTACAATGACCCAGTGAATTTTATAGTTTATAGGAGCATGAGCACTTTAGCAGTGCCTTCACCACCACAAAAAAAAAAAAAAAAAAAAAAAACACGCACGCCTTAATTCCAGCACTTGGGAGGCAGAGGCAGGCAAATCTCTGTGAGTTGGAGGCCAGCCTGGTCTACAGAGCCAGTTCCAGGACAGCCTCCAAAACAATACGGAGAAACCCTGTCTCAAAAAACAAACAAAATGTTTCTCCCTCCTGCATAAACCATTAACTGTGTGTACAAATCCTCAGAGAAGAGTGGTACCTCAAAAGCCCCTGCCCTCCTCATGACAGGCAGTTGTTGATAGGTCTACTCTTGGTCCTCAGTCAGCTGCTGTGAGTTTAATAGAGCAACAGCCATGCCATTCCAGAAGTCAGTTTTCCACACTGTCTGCACACACAACATTAACCAGCGAACATTCTTTCTGCCACTTCATGATACTGGTAAGCCCTGAACTTTTTGGATGCATCCAGTGTCACATGACAAGATCCTGACCTCCAGTGTAAAGGACTTACTTCCTTGTTTATATATTACATTCCTCTGATCTGTAACTTTTTTAGGCAAAGAAAAGTAAAACCAAAATGCCGTCTTTGGTGAAGAAGTGGCAGAGCATCCAGCGGGAGCTGGATGAGGAAGACAACTCGAGCTCCAGTGAGGAGGACCGGGAGTCGACTGCACAGAAGCGAATCGAGGAGTGGAAGCAACAGCAGCTGGTCAGGTAAGGGAGTGCGGTCCCCGGTGCTTGCTGATGTGGAGCTAGTCCTTCATGAAGAATGTGTGGCTTCTTGGCTGAGAAAATGGAAACATTTTCTTGAATGGACGTGAGATCCAAGCTTCAGTTAGTTTTTATTTCCTTAAAAAATTTAGACTGGAAAGTCTTTTCTTTCCAGTGAAAAATAATCTGCAAATTGTTTCCACAGTGGCATGGCAGAAAGAAATGCTAATTTTGAAGCCCTTCCTGAGGATTGGCGAGCAAGACTGAAGAGAAGGAAAATGGCTCCCAACCCATAGTTTTAAATTAAAAAAAAAACAAAAACAAAACTTTTTTTTGGTTTCGTTTTATGTTCAGTCTTAACCAGTTTTAAACTGTTGTCAAATGAACTGTAAATGTTACGAGGAAGAACATGCATTTCTGGGTGAGAACATGTGTATACAAACTTGTCCATTTATGAAGTGTAACTTTTCTGTTTGCTAAAGATGACGTAATTGGGATTGCTTTGCCCTGCTGTCTCTTCACACTGGCAAACTTAGCATGTTTGGTATGAGCCAGTCTTGAGGAGCATGTGATGTGAGTCGTGGGCATGGATCCTCTGTAGAGGACTCACCTGCCCACTAGACGCTTGTATAGTCCCTGGTGGGACGCTCTCCTTCCCCTCTACTCCAGAACAAGTGCAATTATGAAGGCAGCTGTGTCCTACCTTGCTTGACCATCAGGGTCTTTCTGACCTCCTCCTCGAGTCTGCTGCCCCTCAAGTGTTGAGATCTGTGCTGATAGCCACTCTTTCCCAGAGGTCCTACAGCACACATATTTGCATACAGCAGGAGTAGCAGCAGCGGGTGTTCAGATCCTTGATTTTGAGAAATTCCCCTCTAAGTATGTGGTAGTAAGTAAAATAAGCCACTTTGTGTATTGTCTTCACTGTATTACCCGCTTCAAAAACCGACCTTCCTTCTATGTGTGGGTATATTCTCCATAGATTCTGGTATTTAAGAAGCAGTTCACTGTTGTATACTTTCTATTATCGCAATCAGGAAAGGTCACTTTAAACTGAAGAAAAAGCAAATTGTGTCTTAAAGCTGTTTGTATTTCTCCAGTTTCAGACATTGTAAATTTGTATATACGCACTAATAAAACTTTTTATACTTGTGACTGGTTATCCTTTTGCTCTACTAAGCATGTTACCCTACAGTTACATAACCAGGACTTAGTGTACGTCCATTCTGACTTGTTCTAACCAAACATGGTACAGAGCACACACTGACATTTGAACATCAGGGAAAAGCAGCCTCTTGGAGATGAGAGAGACAGTGTTTTTGTTTTTTGTTTTCCTCGAGACAGGGTTTCTCTGTAGCTTTGGAGCCTCTCCTAGAACTCACTCTGTAGACCAGGCTGGCCTCAAACTCAGATCTGCCTGCCTCTGCCTACCAAGTGTTGGGATTAAAGGCGTGCGCCACCACTGTCGGAGGAGATGGGTTTAAAACAGACAGGCCTCTAAACAAGATGGCGCCAAGGGTAACTTCTGGAGCTTACATCTCGCTAATAACTGTTACTTGATTTACCTAAGTCCTGGGAACAATGTAATAATGGCTAACATTTTGGGAGGAAAAGGTGCTTTCTAGCTTTTTTATAAGTAATACCAAGCTGATTATGGAAAATAATAGATACTTAACATTATAATCACAATAGTTAACCAAAGACAATAGTTTGGATTTTATTCTAGTATATTCCTATGCAGTTAATTTTTTTACTTTGTATTACAGTGTATTACATTTTATTTATCATGTGCTAATGTTGAGATGCCCATTTTGTACATAAAGTTGTTTTGTAATTTGCATAGTTACATTTCTACAAATAAAGATTACCAACTCGCTATTAAAGCTTCTGTCTCAATTACAGTGCTCCAGGTGTGTAGGAGTTGCTGGGGAGCACCAGCCTCCTTACTGTTCTGCAGCTGGCACATAAGGGACCTGATTGGCCAGGTTTGGCATGGTTTGAGTGATTCACCGTCGTCATTTCTTTGTTTTTTGGTGTATATTTTTTTCCCCATTCTAACTAGAAGGCAAATAAGGAGTGTTCAGTAGCTGGCCCTTGTCATCACTAGTCAGGAAGACGTTCTAGTCTGCAAGTCTGGCTTGAGTAGCTTAACAGAGATTCTGGCCCCAACTTTTATGAGGCAATTCGCTTTTTGTTGTTAAAGATCTATTTTATGTATATGGATGTTTTGTCTGCATGGACATCTGCAAACCAGAAGAGGCATGGATCCTATAGGAGTACAGTTATAGATGGTTGAGCTGCCATGTGAGTGCTGAGAGTTGAACTCAGAAGAGAAACCAGTGCTCTTAATCACTGCCCCCGCCCTATCTCCAGCCACGAAAAGATTCACTCTTGAAATAGGACATCTTTATTTTTGTTTGTTTTTCGAGATGGTTTCTTTGTGGCTTTGGAGGTTCTCCTGTAACTAGCTCTTTAGACCAGGCTGGCCTTGAACTCACAGAGATCCGCCTGCCTCTGCCTCCCGAGTGCTGGGATTAAAGGCGGGCGCCACCAACGCCCAGCTGGGAGAAATAGGACATCTTGAACAAGACTCAGAAAGTAACAGTGGGGCCAGAGAGCAGAGCGATCGCTCAGCACCTGAGCACTTGTAGCTCTTCCGGAGGACCTAGGTTTGGTTTCCAATACTTGCTTCGGGCTCGAGACTGCCTGTAACTCCAGCTCTAGGGAGACCTCTCAACTCAGCGGGCCCCTGCAGTCATGTGCACAAAAACAATTTTTAAAAAGAACGGGCTGGTTCGATAGTTTAATGGGTTTGTTTGCCTGGCACTTGCTAGTCTCTGGAACCCACAAAGGTGGGAGGGAGGAATTGACTTCACACAGTCCTTTGCCTTATACCTGTCCACACAAATGCTGCACACGGAAACACAGTATGAAAAGTAAATAAAGGGGCATTCCCCGAGAGATAACTCAGGAGTTTAAAGAACTTGCGGCCCTTTCCCTACTTCAGACAGCTCACAACCGCAGGAAACTAGCTCCTTGGGGATCCCAAGCCTTCTGGCCTCCCCGGACATCTGTGTGCATGCGCACAGAGGGAGATGAAAAGGTGGAAAGGAAGATACTTTAAATTTATCAAAGGCAGAAGAAATGATGTAAACTAGAACGAGCCTGATTCCTAGGATTCATCTCTGCTTTCCCTTTTCAAATAAACCTTTGGTGGTTAAAGCTCCATCCTTCCCAACCCTCAACCCCTAAAGGAAAGGAAGCTTCAGCCCCTTGAACAAAGTAAGTTACTGCAGAAGCTAGAAAGAGGGTGAAGGCTCCTGGCACTGTACTCATCAGCACCCAGACTGGGTCTGTAAAGTTAGAGATGAATCAGTCATCGGTGTGTGAAACACAAATCGCCTGACATCCCAGGGCTCGCAACATCCGTAGGCTGAGGGCGGGGTCCTGCCCTCCTTCCGCTTCTGGCTCCCGGTTGCTAGGCTGCCAGGGTCCGCGCGGAAAGCTCCCGCAGGTGAACTGAGGGACTGGGGCTGCCCCAGGCGGGATCCGGGGCAGGAAGGGGGTGAGGAGGGCAGGAGGTGAGAAAGGTAGGGGGGTGAGGAGGGCAGAGAGGTGGGGTGGGGAATGTAGGGGTGTGGAGGGCAGGGCGCTGAGGAGCGCTTGGCCGGCGGGTGTGGGAGCCCCTGCCGCATCCACCCTGGCCGAGGGGCCGCTGCGGGGCGGGGAGCTGGGGAGCGCGGGGTCGGCCTGCGGGCTCCGGCGGAAACTTCTGCCTCGCCCTCCCTTGGGCTGTCCCCACCGCGGTCCGCACCTCAGGGGCAGGACGCTCAGAACCGGACGTTTCCAGGGCCCTGCTTTCGACCCTTGACCTTTCCTTTTCAACTGCTCTGAGGCGACCCGGCACGTGCCTCCCACCCGGTTCCTTCCCCCTTTCTGCGGCGTCCTGGTGTCGGGCACGTCTTCTCAGCGTAAGCTAAGCATGGGGCCAGCGAGGGTCCCGGTGAGTCTGGAGGACCAGGCGCGAGGACACGCAGTGCAGCGCGACTCCTCAGGTGCGCGCTGGGAACCACAGCTGCTGGGTTGCTGGGGTCCCCGAAGCGGACGCGGGTGTGGGAGGGCAGGGCCGGCGGATGTGGTGTTCTTTGGTGGTTTCTTTTCACTTTTCCTGCTGTGATTTGAGGCTTCTGTGTAATGAGCTACCCTTTTGGAAACTAGGCAGAGATTGCAGCCGGGTGCGGTGCTGCTACTGACTCGCCTGCATCATACTTACTATGCGGCAGTAACATGTTCCCGGCGTTGGAAACAGACCTAAAGCAGGAGGTCGGTACATTCCCCTTAACAATAACTTCACAGAAACCCAATCCTAAACCAAAAGGTTCAATGTGCGGCATGCTGTCCAGATGGAAGTGTCTTTTCTGGTTGGCTTTTTGGGAGGAAGATGGGTAATATGACCTTGCTCTGTAGCCCAGGCTGGCCCGGAACTCACGATATTGCCCCGACCAGCCATGAACTTGTCCCTCCTACCTCCCCTTCCCTGGTGCTGGTATAACTAGTGTGCTCCTTACCAGCTAATACCCCAAGGCCTGTTGGAGATCGTGATTCCCAAGATAGATTAGTTCAATATTTGCATGGGTTGCTTGTTTTGTTACTGTAGCCTATGAAGCATGTTTGGCACTTTTTGCTAAGAATTCAGTGTCCTCTGTTGTTGTGCTTGAGAAGGTCATTTCTTTCAGACGCTTCCTGACCCCTATGAGGATTTTATGCACCATCACCTCCAGTATTATGGATACTTTAAAGGTAAAGCTTCGTTCTTTCCCAGCCTCACCATGCTGAATTGTTGCATTAACTGGAAGAACTGTATTTTCTAGTCAATTAGTTGAGAAGTACTTCCTACCCCTATTGAACCTCTGTCTAGGGAGAGACTCACTATATACAAAAGTGCAAATGTCTCTTCTAGGTTCTTTATTGGCCTATTTTCCACTGGTGCACCAATAATTACCAACTCTCAATAGCCGTGTGACATTAAAATAGTTTTTTATTTAGATGGCCTCACTGTGTAGTCCAGGAAGGCAAGGAACTCACTGTCCCGTCTTGCACCAACCACTATGCCTAGCTTTTATAGTCTTGATATCCGGAGAGTTATTTCCTTTCACCTTCTTCTTCAAGTGTCTTGTCTTTTCTTGAGTCTTTGCTTTTTTTCTCTCTTCTTATGGTTCTGGAGATTAGACCTGTGTTCAGTACAGGATGCTATGTGAGTACTCTGCTAAGGGACATCTCAAGCCCTCTTTATGTAAATTTTAAAATTAGTTTTAGACATTAAAAAATCATTAGGGGGCCTGGTGTTGGTGGCGCACGCCTTTAAGCCCAGCACTGGGGAGGTAGAGGCAGGCGAATCTCTGTGAGTTCGAGACCAGCCTGATCTACAAAAGCTAGTTCCAGGACAGCCTCCAAAGCCACAGAGAAACCCTGTCTTGAAAAAACCAAAAATAAATAAATAAATAAATAAAATTCATTAGGGGGAAAATCATTAGGGACCAAGGGTGTAGCTCAGTGGTAGAACACTTGTTTAACATTACCCAGGGGCTACATTCAATGCCCAGCACCTTGAACCATCATGTAGGTGATGAAAACCAGTTTGAGTTTTGAGTTCTCTGAATGAGCAGTAAGCACTCTTAAAACTTCTGGGCCATCTCTCCACCTGTTTGGTTTTTTAAGACAACATCTTGCCATGTACCCTGGCTGACCTGTAATTTACTAGGTAGACAAAGCTGAAGTCCTCTTGCCTCTACCTCCAAAGCTTTCTTACAGAACCCAGGACCAGCAGGGCCTAGTGGCACACATGTTTAATCCCAGGACTTGTGAGACAAAGGCAGGCAGATCTCTGAGTTCAAGTCTAGCCTGCTCTACAGAATGAGTTCCAAAAAAGAACCCACCTACAGGAATTGGTTCTCTTCTTCCAACTTCATCCTCAAGGATCCAACTCAGGTCCTCGGGCTCTCCAGCTACTACCTTTCCTTCCTGAGCCATCTTGTCAGCCAATTAATTTCCTAGTGTGACATTTTGTTTGGTTTTGGTGTTTTGAGACAGTGTTTTTCTGTGCAACAGCCCTGGCTGTCCTGGAACTCACTTTTGTAGACGGGCACTGCCTGCCTCTGCCTCCCGAGTTCTGGAACTAAAGACATGTACCACCATGCCAGGTGAGTTTTACTTTTGTTTATTTTTTTGTCTTTTGAGACAGGCTTATTTGTAACCCAGGCTGGTCTCTACCTCAATATACAGCTTTATTTTTGCAGTTTGGGTGCAAGCCTGGCGCCTTGCACTTATTAGGCAGCTGTTCTACCACTGAACTACATCTACAACTCTTGGCTTTTGAGACAAAGTCTTGCCATGTAGTCTAGTTGGTTCCAGACTTGTAATTCTCCTACCTTCGTCTCCTCACTATGGCCAACTTAATATTGACTGTAATTCTGTCAACCTTGTTCAACATTATTATTAGCAATTTCTACTTTATTGCTAATTTGTTTAAAAAAATAACTTTAATTTGTCAGATTCAATAAATTTCCTTAGTAGAGAAAGGCTTTTGAAGCTGGGCGTGGTGGTGAATGAATGCCTTTAATCTCACTCAGAAGACAGAGACAGACAGATCTCTATGTCTGAGGCCATCCTGGTCTGGTCTACATAGTGAGTTCCAAGACAGCCAGGGCTACGTAGTAAGACCTATAGTTAAAAAAAAAAAAGGTTTTGGTACGATGTGTTAATATTCCTTTACACTGTGTGAATATATGTTGCTGGATTGGTTTAATAAAGAAGGTGACTGGCCAGTAGCTGAGCCAAGCTGAGAATGCTGGGGGGAAGAAGGGCAGAGTCTGGAGTCACCAGCAAAAGCAGAGAGAAGCAAGATGGGCAGGCCGTACTGAAAAAAGGTACCAAGCCACGTGGCAAAGCATAGATAAGAAATATGGGTTAATTTAAATGCAAGAGTTAGCTAGTAACAAGCCTGAGCTATTGGCAGAGCATTTATAGTTGATATAAGCCTGTGTGGTTTTGGGGGAGCTATTGGTTTTACAGAAACTTATGCCTACAGCACAATACTTTGTTCCCACTCTGGTACCTGCCTTCACTTAGCTTTGGCTCTCTTAGCAGCTTTTAGAGCCGCTGAGTTTTTCTGCCTTCTAAATACCATTATAAAACCACCATTATACTATGGTGTTATTCTCTACTCTCTTTCCTCTCTTGTCAAATGGGAATAATTATTCTCACTTTGCATAAATTGGATTGTAAGAGATCTTTTAAAAATGGGATGTGTTACTATAAAACCCTATGATGGACAGTGGTAATAAAAGTCATGGTTTGAGCCGGGCATTGGTGGTGCACGCCTTTATTTCTAGCACTCGGGAGGCAGAGGCAGGAGGATTTCTGTGAGTTCCAGGCCAGCCTGGTCGTCAGAGCGAGTTCCAGGATGGCCTCCAAAGCCACAGAGAAACCCTGTCTCAAAAAAAACAAAACAAAACAAAACAAAAACAAAACAAAACAAAAAAGCCATGGGTTGAGTGGTTGGGAATTTTTTATATTGACTTCAGCACTAGAGATACTGAGCCATCCTACACTACTTACTCTTAGCCCAAAAAAGCAATCTACCAAATTCTGCTACTCACCATCGTGTTTGGAAGACTAGCCCTCGGTACATGTTGAATGGCTCTTTTGGAGAGAAAGATGATTTGATCTCGGACACCTTGGAAACTGAGACGTTTCTATGTGAGTAACCTCTTGAGCCTACCTACCCACACCCAGAACCTGGCTACCTTGAAAACCCCAGGAACCTAAGAGAACATGACCAAATGTGGGAGACGCAAAGGAACCAACCGATCCAGACTCCTGGTTTTTTGTTTGTTTGTTTTGATATTTGGTTCGTTTTGGTTTTTTTGAAGGGGCTGTTGTTGGGTTATTTATTTTTCATGTAGTCTGTGTGTATAGACCTACCATAAACATATCATGTAGAGGTTAAGTTTGTGGGAGTTGACTTTCTCATCCACCATTTTTGTTCTGGGAATCAAACTCAGACTATCAAGGCTTTACCTTCTGAGCCATCTCTCCAGCTCCAAATGTGCTCTAAATTGACTTGGATTATAGATTTAAATTAGAATTCTGTCATTTTGGGTTTTTCTCCTCCAGTTTTTTGAACATCTGTTAGGACCTCATGAAGAGAACCCATTTTTCACATTGAGTTACTATTGTTGAGGGTGACTGATTAAGGAGCTTTGCATAAGAGTAGAGGGAAGCAATTCCAGTGAACTTAAACTAAAGCAATGTTACACACTTTAATTAGGATACAATTTTATCACTTTACCCCTTCCCTTAACTCCCTCCAGCTCCTCCTGAGTCCCCTCCCTTCATCTCTTTTCATGTTCCCTCACTCTCACATTAATAGCCTTGTTTTCTTAGATTATTGTTGTTACTTTATATATGTATATGGATGCATAAGTATAAATACAACCTGCTGAGCCCTTTTTTTTGTTGTTTGTGTGTATATTGTTTCAGGGCTGACCCCTTGGTATTGGGAGACCATTTAGGGAGCTCACTCCTGGGAGAGGCTAATATCTAATATCCCCTCTCTGTGCCTTAGTTGCCTATAGTTCTTTGTATAAGGATGAGACCCCCCCCCCTTAGCAAATCTATTGATGTTGTCGTTGCTCAGGGGTCTTGTTTAGGCAGCCATTTCTAGGAGAGACTGTTTCCCAGCAGACATCCTGGTACTCTGGCTTGTACAATCTTCCCACTCTCTTGAGCAGTGTTTCCTGAATTACAGATGCAGGAGCTGAGATGTAGATGTATCTTTTGGGGGTGGGCTCCCCACAATGCATGGAGCTCTGCTCTGTGTCCAGTTGTGGTTTCCTGTGATGGTTTCCATTGCTATACAGATGGGAGGTTAAAAGGACTTTTTCGTAGGAACGCAGGTAGCATCTCATCTCCAAGGGCCGGAATGCTGCTGCTTGATGTGTCCATCAATACAAATGTATCCAAACCTCCATCCATTTCTGTTTTCTTTGCACCTTCTGCCAGTCTCGCCCTACTCCCAGTTCAAGCTGCCCTCTTGGCTTTCTAATGGACTTCCCAGTTTCTTCTCTTGTTCTACTTATCTGCTTCCAATCTATTTTGACCGTCACAAATTCAAAAGTCATAAAATAAATTAGTAATCATTTTTAGAACAAAAGTTTAAATTGTTTCTAGGGATGGGTGTGATGGCACATGCTTGTAATAAAATCAGCTTTCTGGAGGCAGAGACAAGAGAGAATTAAGAATTCAGACCAGTCTTGATTGCATACTAAGTTTGAGGTCAGGTTGGCCTATCCTATCTCAAAAAACAAAAAAAACATTGCTATTTAGGAATAAATGCCACTTACAAAATAAAAGATGAAATTGAAAGAAACTAGAATCACAGGTGTATACCAACATGCTCCATGTCTACTTCACTCTTTTTAAAGATAATGCTGGTATTACTTCTCAGTAATGTGCCATAATTATTTTTAACTTCCTTTTTGATGGCTAGCTTGGTTCTGCCTTTTTCATGATTTTGACACAATGATCATCTTTATATATGTATATATATATATATATATATATATATCTTGAAAAACTTTTGTAAGGCAAATGACACACACAGTTATGGTTCAAACTCAGGGTCTTGTGCATGGTATGCAACAACTATATCTCCAACTTTTGAAACACCTGTCCCCCTACCCTCCACTCCATCCCTCCACCCCTCCTTCCCCACCACCCTTGGGCAGGGTTTCACTGCATCCCTGGCTGTCCTGGAACTCACTCTGTAGACCACACTGGTCTTTATAGATGATTGTGAACCAACATGTGGTTGCTGGAAATTGAACTCAGGTCCTCGGGAAGAGCAGTCATTTCTCCAGCCCTTTTTTTTAGGTCTTTCAAGACAGGGTTTCTCTGTGTAATAAATAGCATTGGCTGTCCTGGAACTCACTTTGTAAACCAGTCTGGCTTCAAACTCATAGAGATCCACCTGCCTCTGCCTCCTGAGTGCTGGGATTAAAGGTGTGTGCCATCACTGCCAGGCCCAACTTTTTGACTTTTTGAGACATGGTCCTGCTATGTAGCCTAGGCTGGCTTGGAATCCCTGACCTTCCTGCTTCTATCGCCTGGGTACATTACAGGATTGTGTATATGTACTACTATATATGTATTATATATATTTTTTAGATAGTGTCTTACTTGTAGCCCTGATTGGCCTGGAACTTACTAGGTAGACCAGACTGGCCTCAAACTCACAGACATTTGCCTTCCTCTGCCTCCCAAATGTTGGGATTTAAGGCATTCCTCCACTATACCTAACATAAATCTTTTTAAGATTTTTACTTTTGCTGGGTGGTGGTAGCACACACCTTTAATCCCAGCACTTGGAGGGAGGGTGAACAGAGATGGGGGAGCTCTGTGAGTTGGAGGTCAGCCTGGTCTACAGAGAGAGTTCCAGGATAGCCAGGGCTGTCACTAAAGAAACTCTATCTGGAAAAACAAAAAACCAAATGATTTTATTTTTAAGGTGTGTGTATGTGTGTGTTGTGTAGGTATGTGCACATGAGTGCCCTTGAGACAACAGTTGGATCCCCTAGCTGGAGTCACAGGAGGCTGTGAGCACTCCAGTCCATTGGTGTTGGAAACTGAACCTCAGTACCCTACAAGAATGCACTCTTAATAACTGAGCAACAAGCACGATTAATCCCTGAGCCATCCCTCCAGCCTCTGACCATCTTTTCAAATGTGAATTGTCTCACCCATTAATTATTAAGTAAAGGTGTATATAGAGATTCAGGGGCCCAGTATGGGGATAAAAAATAAAAGGAGATGTGAGACAGTGGACAAAAAATAAACAAATGGTGCTTCCTTCTTCCTTTCTAGGGCCTACCTATTTATCTTCAGCTGGGCACGCTCAGGTAGACGCTGTAAACCGAGGTATTGAGCTTCAGATAAGTACAGCACAGACCTGAAATTCAATTTGTCAGTTGCTTCACTCTAGTTTTTGTTTATTTGTTTTTCAAGACAGGCTTTCTCTGTGAAACAGCCCTGGCTATCCTGGAATTTGTTTTGTAGACCAGGCTAGCCTCAAACTCGAAGAGATCCCCCTGCCTCTGCTTGCCAAGTGCTGGGATTAAAGGTGTGTGCCACCACAGCCTGGCTACTATAGTTTTTGTTGTTGTTTAAAAGTATTTATTTATTATATATACAGTATTCTATCTGCATGTCTGTCTGCATACCAGAAGAGGGCATCCGATCTCATTATAGATGATTGTGAGCCACCATATGTTTGATGGGAATTGAACTCAGGACCTCTGGAAGGGCAGTCAATGCTCTTAACCTCTAAGCCCATCTATCCAGCCTCTACTATAGTTCTTTTTTTAATGTATGTGTTTTCATGGTATATGCTTATTTATGTGTTTGTGGGTACATGTACATGTTTAAAGGCCAGAGGTCAATGCTCTATGTCTTTATCTTTTCCTCTCAACCTCATTTTTCGAGACAAGGCCCTTCTTTTTTTATAGTTTTTCTAGACAGGGTTTCTCTGCATTGTTTTGGAGGCTGTCCTGGAACTCACTCTGTCGACCAGGCTGGCCTCGAACTCCAGAGATCCTCCTGCCTCTGCCTCCCGAGTGCTGGGATTAAAGGCGAGTGCCACCAACGCCCGGCCTGACAAGGTTCTTCTTACTGAACCTGGAACTCAATGTCTGGCCAGTGAGCTTCAGGGATCTGCCTACCTCTGACCCTCCCCACACTGTAGTTACAGATGTGCACCTTTATGCCTATTTCTTACATGGGTTCTGGGCATCTGAATTCATGTCCTCATCCTTGCACAGCAAACAGTTCACCAACTGGAAATTGGTAATTCCCAGTTACTGGGAATTACCAGTACTTGGGAATTCTTTTTTCATTTTTTCTTTCCTTTCTTCCTCTCTCTCTTTGTTTCTTACTGTCTGTCTTTTTGTTTTGTTTTGCTTTTGATTTTGCTTTTTGAGGCAGGGTTTCTCTGTATTGTTTTGGAAGCTATCTTAGAACTCACTCTGTAGACCAGGCTGGCCTTGAACTCACAGAGATCTACCTGCCTTGGGCCTCCTGAGCACTGAGATTAAAACTGTGCACTACAGCCGGGCGGTGGTGGTGCACGCCTTTAGTCCCAGCACTCGGGAGGCAGAGGCAGGCGGATCTCTGTGAGTTCGAGGCCGGGCTGGACCGACAGCCTCCAAAACAATACAGAGAAACCCTGTCTCGTAAAACCAAAAAAAAAAAATTATCTAGTTACTGTAGAAGAGCAGTAAAGCCCTCAAGGTGAAAAACAAGTGTTCACACAGTTCCTCTTCCTCTTGGCAGATTCACTTATGCTGAGTTCGCCACTTCTTAGGAGTAGACAGCTTCTTTATGATGACCTGGATGAAGTGAACCCACGTCTTCGAGAACCCCGAGAGCTCTTCTCAATTTTCTCCAGTCGGGGGCCACTGCAGGCTCCAAGATGGCCAATAGAGTGTGAGGTCATCAAGGAAAACATTAGTCATATTGGTAATATGACTCTGTGTGTGTGTTCCTGGTATTTTATCTTAACTTTAGTGCAAGTGTACATATATAAAGCCAGAGATCAGTCTCAGATATCATTTCTCAGGAGCTGTCTCCCTTGAGTTTTAAGACAGTGTCTCTCACTAGGACCTACACCTCACAAATTAGGTGAATCTGGAAGCCAGATAGTTCCACAGATCCACCTGTCTCTGTGTTTTGCAGCTTCACTTCTAGCTTCTTGGTGTATGATCAGGGGATCAAACTCAAGTCCTCACGCTTGCACAGTTAACACTTCGCCAGTAGAGCCAGCACTCCAGCCCTTAGCATAAGGGCTTTCATGCTGACATAGAAGGCAAGACAGAGTCTCCACCTGTTAACTCACTAGAGCATAAACTAGAATGCTTCTGTTTTTAGGAATGGGAAGACTGCTTCTTTTCGTTGTTGTTTGTTTGCTTTTCGAGACAGGCTTTCTCTGTATTGTTTTGGAGGCTGTCCTGGAACTCACTCTGTAGACCAGGCCGGTCTTGAACTCACAGAGATCCTCCTGCCTCTGCCTCCCGACTGCTGGGATTAAAGGTGTACGCCAACAACACCTGGTTGGGAAGACTGTTTCTTAGAGGCCAAACTTTTTAAGTACTTAAGTCTGTTTTCCAGGCCTTTGTTCTGTCACCGAGCTCCACTGGCCTGTGGACTCTCTTTTTGTGATGTAAGTGGTCCTATCTGTAAGCTCTCAGTATACAGTCTTTTACATCTTTTTTTCCCTTGTTTTCTTTCTTTCTTTCTTTCTTTCTTTCTTTCTTTTTTTTTTTTTTTTTTTTTTGGATACAGGGTCTCATTATGTAGCTCTGGCTAGTGAACAAAGGTCTGAGTTGCATCTTTAGCACCAGGAAAACAAAACAAATGAACAAACAAACCCCAACTCTACCATCCCTCTACAAATCTCTGTCAAGCTCAAAATGAAGGTACAAACAGGGAAAACTATGTTCTAGCACTGTGGACTTCATCTCTGATATCAAGACTGGTAAAATACAGTTGAACCAAGACTGTTATACTGCACACAGCAACCTGGAAAACAGACCTGGCTCAGCAACTGACTGCTCTTCCCGAGGACCTGGGTTTAACTTCCGGCACCCACACGGTGGTTCACAACAAGTGTGACTCCAGCTCTAGGAGATCTGACGCCCTCTTCTACCCTCCTAGGGCACCAAGAATACATATGGTACAAAGGCATGCAGATATGCAGGCAAAACACCCATACTCATCAACTAAAAGTTAAAAAAACACCTGAGTTACAAAGCCTCATGACTCCTTAACCACCTTTAAGAGACAACATTAGCATTGTCTTTTACTAAGTTCTTTCCTTGTATGTCCATGGCTTTCATCAGTGACTGTTACTTAAAATGACATTTTAATGCCAAGAGTGGTGGTACAGTCCCAGCACTGGGGAGTCAGAGGCAGGTGGATCTCTGTGAGTTCAAGGCCAGACTGGACTGCATAGTGTGTTCCAGGGCATCTAGAGTGATGTAGAGAGACCCTGCCTCAAAAGAACTAAAGCAAACAAAAAGACAGAATTGCCAACTTATTTTCTCTGAAACAAAGGATGTACTTTTCTATAGTAATAGAAACTGTGTTTTTAGGGCTGGAGAGATGGCTCAGTGGTTAAGAGCTTGTCTTAATTGTGGTTACTGTTGCCATGATGAAACATCATGACCAAAAGCAAGTTGGGGAGGGAAGGGCTTATTCGGCTTACATTTCTACATACATCAATGTTCATCATCAAAGGAAGTCAGGACAGAAACTCGCACAGGATAGAAACCTGGAGACAGGGGCTGATGCAGAGGTCATTGAGGGGTGCTGCTTACTGGCTTGCTCTCAATGGCTTGCTCAGCCTGATTTCTTATAGAATCCTGGACTATCAACCCAGGATGGTAGCATCCACATGGGGCTAGGCCCCCCCTCCATCAATTACCAATTAAGAAAATGCCCTACAGGCTTGTCCACAGCCTGATCTAATGGAGGCATTTTCTCAGATGGCTTTAGTTTGTGTCAAGTTGAAATAAAAGTACGCAGCATAGAGCTCTTGCTTCTCCTCCAGAGGAACCAAGTTCAGGTTCCAGCCCCCAGATCAGATGGCTCCCAGCTACCTGTAACTCCAGCTCCATGGGGGTCTTATGCCCTCCAGAGGCACCTGCACACACTCATACAGACACACACACATAAATTATAAAAGCATACATCTGACCATAGTTCCCTTACTTCCAGGAAACACATGGTCAAATTGCAAACATTTATATTGATCTTTCTGGCATATTTTAAGTTTTCTACTTAAAATTTATGATATGGGGGACAGGGAGATCGCTAACCAAACAAGCCTGATAAACAGAGTTTGAACTCCCAGAATCTATGAAAAAGGTAGATATGGTAGCAGACACCTGTAATCCCAGCACTCCTAGGAGATGGAGACAGATTGTTTGAAAGCTTGAGACCCAGTTAGCCTTGAATACATAGTCCAAGAGAAGAAACAGGGGACACTGCCTTAAGCACACAGAAGATGAGAACAAACTCCTGGAAGCTATCCTCAGATCCCTCTCCCTCTGCCTGCCCCACTTTAAATTTATGATTTTTACTGTATCCATATGAAGCGCTGTGGTCACAGCCAGGTCCGGTGCATGCTAGGCTCAGGCTGCTTCTCAGCATCTGCCCATAGTCGTTACAGAGAAAAGCATGACAATTTATCAACAGGCTGGAAACTTGGAACGAGAATTAGGTTGGACTGAGCAGCATCAATCATTTAAGTAGTTGTGATTTCATGTTAATTGTGATTGCACCCTGTACATCATTTCTTATTCTGTACTCTTGAAAATAATCTTCTTTCAGAATGGGTTCCACCTCAACCAGAGTATTTCTACCAGCCTACAGGAGACGAAAAGGTACCGGAGATTGTGGGAGAAGAGCAAGGCACGGCTGTTTACCAGTTAGATTCAGGTATTGTCATTGCACTGGACAGTGAGTGATTAACTATGATAAAGCTACAGTACACTTAGTATGTACAATAGAAGGGGTTTTAATTTCCAAAAATGTCTTTCTGTGTCTGTGCGCTTGCGGGCCGTGATGCAAGTTTGAAAGTCGGAGGACAGCCGACACGTTATGGGGGTTCCCAGGAGAGAACCCATGTCATCAGGCTAACACAGCAAGCCCCGTACCCACTAAGCCATCTTGCCAGCCCTAAACGTGACTTTGTATCTATCTTTTTTAAACAATTATTTTTGTATAAATAAGGGGGGTATATTTCATGGGAAAAGACACACCACAACACACACAGGTAAAGTCAGAGGACAAGTTCTGAAAATCTCTCTGACCTTCTACCTTGTGGAGCCCAGGGTTTGAGCCCAGGTTGTCAGGCTTGATGACAAGTTCTTTTACTTTCCGAATCATCCCACCGGCCCTAGTCATGATTTTTAAAATTGTCCCCTTAATGATAAAAGTCTATTTTGACCTGTGTGGAAACCTGGACAGTTATGACTGATCAGCCGTACATTTTCAGTAGTTTACTTATTTATTTTATTATTTATTTATTGTTTGTTGATTCATTTTCCAGACAAGGTTTCTCTGTATAGCACTGACTACCCTGGAACTCCCTCTGTACACCAGGCTACCTTGAACTCACAGATCTCTGCCTGCTTCTGCCTCCCCCTTGAGTTCTGGGATTAAAGGCGTGTGCCACCACCATCCAACCAATAGTTCATTTTTAATTACTTTTAAATACTACTTTATGTGCAGGATTTTTTCCCCTGCATACATGTCTGTGCACCACATGCGTGCAGTGACAGTGGGGGCCACAAGAGGGCGCATCAAATCTCCTGAAGCTGGAGTTACAGGTAATTTTGAGATACTGCGGAGGTACTGGAAGTTGAATCTTGCTGAGCCCTCTTTCCAGCCCTTCAATAATTCTTGTTTATTTTTAAATTTTTAGGGGTTTATTTGTTTGTGTTTGTTTTTGTTTTTGAGATAGGTAGAGCTCTATGAGTTCAAGTCCAGCCTGGTTTACATAGAGAATTCCAGGCCAGCCAGAGCTACATGCATACATACTTACATACACACATATGTATGATTGTGTAATTAAATAATGCATATATCCTTGAGGCCGGAGAGACCACTCAGCAGTAAGAGCACTTGCTCCTCTTCCAGAGGACCTCGGTGGGGTTGTCATCATCCACAGTGGGTGGCTCACAGCCTCCTGTAACTCCAGCTCCAGGGAATCGATCACCCACTTCTGGTCTCCATGGGTACTTGCACATATGTGACATACATACACACGTGAATAAAATTTTTTTTTAAAAAGTCAAACACTGTTGTTTGGTTAATGCTCCAGGATCAACATATTTGATAGCAGTATCTTAGCAGTTTGAAATATATAATGAACATTATAATACTATATATAAATATGATGAAAGTATAGTAAAAAATTGTTTACCTTTGTGATCTTCATAAGAAATGCAGGATTTTATTAAGTATCTTATGACTATTAATAATTGCTTAAATTACAAAGTCATTGACAAATTTAAAAAAATAAATTTTCAACAAGTTAAAAATATCAAAGAGAGATGATAAAGTTGGTCTTCAGAACAGGATACTAACAGTGCTGTGGACAAAGAGAAATCTTTGAAACTATGAGAATCTAAGTACCTTTTCAACAGTAACTGCAAAACTTGAGGCTGCTGGGCTGGGAATAGAGCTCAGCTGGGAAAGTGCTTGCTCAGCACCCTGGCCTCCATCGCAGCAGCAGAGTGGACAGAAGCAGGGGCATCAGACACTCGAGTATATCCTCTGTTATATGGAGGTCCAAGCCAGCCTGAACTGGTGAGACCCTGGCTCAAAAAACAGCAAAAGAAAATCAAGAGGTCGGGCCTGGTGTGGCGCTTGCCTTTAATGCCAGCAGGGGCAGAACAGGCGATTTCTGTGAGTTGAGGTCCGCCTAGTCGATGTAGCAACTTTCAGGCCAGCCAGGGCTACACAGAGAGACTCTGTCTCAAAAGAATTTTCTTAGCAGGGCGGTGATGGCGCACACCTTTAATCCCAGCACTCGGGAGGCAGAGAAAGGCAGATCTCTGTAAGTTAGAGGCCAGCCTGGCCTACAGATCGAGTTCCAGGACAGCCTCCAAAACAATACAGAGAAACCCTGTCTCAAAAAACCAAAAAAAATTTTTTCTTTTAAAAATTGATGATGTAATACTCTCACTGAATTTGATGATGTAATACTTCACTGAATTTGTCCAAAAAGCCATGAAATTTTTCCTTAACAATTTATTATTATTCCAGGAATTAGGAAGGAGTATAAATAACCTAATTTTTAAAATTATGCTTGTTTATTTGGGGGAGCAGGGGTACCACAGCACACATTTAGAGATTAGAGAGCAGCCTGTAAGAGTTGGTACCCTGCTTTCACTATGGAACCCTTGGAATCAAACTCAGTCATCAGGCTTGGTGGCAAGCATCTCTTCCCACTGAACCATTTCAGTGTCCTACCTACGTTTTCTGAAGGCTCACTTCTTTTTTTTTTTTTGGTTTTTCGAGACAGGGTTTCTCTGTATTGTTTTGGAGGCTGTCCTGGAACTCACTCTGGTAGGCCAGCCTGGCCTCGAACTCACAGAGATCCTCCTGCCTCTGCCTCCTGAGTGCTGGGATTAAAGGCGTGGGCCACCAATGCCCGGCTCTGAAGGCTCACTTCTTGCTATAGCTTTGTTTTATGCTTTGAAAAAGTTAATGGATAGTGCTCAAGTACATTTTTAGTTTGAATTATGTCTATCTGTGTGTAGGTATGTGCCTGTGTATATGTGAGTGGCGTGTTCTCAGACACCAGAAGAAGTGCCTAGATCCACTGGAAGTAGAGTTGCAGGAGGCTATGTGTTCATAATGTGGGCACTGGGAACCAAATCTCATCTTGGACCAGAGCAGTCCCATAGCTTTGTCTGAGATGAAGTGCTCACCATACTTTTTTTTCACTAATCACTGACTGACATTTTGAATCTCCTCTAGGCAAGCTCACCCATGCCAATTCTTGTCAAACTTCTATCTTCATTTATTCTGTGTGTGATATACCTTATTTTCCATTATCTTTTTTAAAATTGATAGATCCTGTTTAAATGCTTTGTAGAATAAGATTGCAGATGTTTTCAGATCCTCTCTAGAGAACAGCCAGAACACTGTTTCCATTCCATTTCAAACATTTAGGATGTCAGGGTTGGTGGTTTTGACATTTGGATAGTTTTGCTGTGTGGCCTGGCAGCCCTCCTACCTTAGCCTCCTCCAGAATTCCAGGGAGCTAGGATAGTGGTTTTTATCAGCATCCTTTAAAATCAGGATTTAGATGGAGACAAGCAGTATGTGCAATGCCAAGGGAAGTACTGAGGCAAAAGGCTGCACTCTAAACCATCTAAAAGACTTCAGATGGCTGGAGAGATGGATCAGCCGTTAAAGGCTAGGCTCACAACCAAAAATATAAAAGACTTCAGAGTGCCAGGGCGGTGGTGGCACGTGCCTTTAACCCCAGCACTCAGGCGGATCTCTAGTCTACAAAGCAAGTTCTAGGACGGCTAGGGCTGTTGCACAGAGAAACCCTGTCTCAAAAAATAACCAAATGAGCCGGGCATTGGTGGCACACGCCTTTAATCCCAGCACTCGGGAGGCAGAGGCAGGCGGATCTCTGTGAGTTCGAGACCAGCCTGGACTACCAAGTGAGTTCCAGGACAGCCTCCAAAGCCACAGAGAAACCCTGTCTCGAAAAACCAAAATAAATAAATAAATAAATAACCAAATGAGCCAGGTGGTGGTGGCGCATGCCTTTAATCCCAGCACTCGGGAGGCAAAGGCAGGAAGATATCTGTGAGTTCAAGACCAGCCTGGTCTACAAGAGCTAGTTCCAGGACAGGCTCCACAGCTACACAGAGAAACCCTGTCTCGAACACCCCCTCCCAAAAAAAACCCATCTAACATAAATAAAATTAAAGGTCCCAGTAAAGACAGTAAGTGATCCATTGAAAATGTATAGGGATGGTAGGACTCAGTGAAGAGTTGCTGAGTGAATGAATTCTGAGTGGAACGAAGCCTAATCATATCTTTCTCCTCTGCAGTCCCCACAGAAGGTGCCTACTTCACCAGTTCCAGAATAGGAGGCAAACGAGGAATTATCAAGGAACTTGCTGTTACATTGCAAGGGCCGGAAGATAATACTCTATTGTTTGAATCGAGGTTTGAAAGTGGGAATCTGCAGAAAGCTGTCAGAGTGTGAGTAACTAGGTGTTTCTCAAAGGTGCTGACTGGAGGCTGAGAGTTGTCTTTAGAAATGATTTCAGGGCCGGGCGTTGGTGGCGCACGCCTTTAATCCCAGCACTCGGGAGGCAGAGGCAGGCGGATCTCTGTGAGTTCGAGGCCAGCCTGGTCTACAGAGCTAGTTCCAGGACAGCCTCCAAAACAATACAGAGAAACCCTGTCTCGAAAAAAAACCAAAAAAAAAAAAAAAAAAAAAAAAAAAAGAAATGATTTCAGGCATCCAGAATGCTTGCAAGAGAGAGGTTGTAGAAAACGTTATTAAGTAGACGAGGAAGAATGTCATAATTACGGCTAATTTTCCCCCAGAATAAAACACTAAATTACTCTGCTTACAAAAGAAAAAAAAAGCTCACTTAAAAGTTGTATCAGTGGAACCAGCAAGATGACTCTGGGTAAAGTCACTTGCCTCTCATGCCAGACAACCTGGGTTCAATACTAGTGAGTTCCGGGCCTATATAGAGAGACCCTGTCCCAAAACAAGCACAAACCAACCAAGCCCAGGGGCTGGAATGATGACTCAGCAGTTAGGAGCACTTGTTGCCCTTGCAGAAAACCTGGGTTCGGTTCCCGGCACCCATATGGTTGCTCACAAACATCCACAGCTTCATTTCCAGGGGATCTGAACCCCCTCTTCCTACCTTCACAGCTACCAGCTATGCTTGTGGTGTATGTACACAGATACATTCAGGCATAACTTTCATGCATATAAATAAATCTAGAGAAAATTTTAAAATGAACCCAGTGCCTAACACATACTAAGCACATGACCTACCACTATGCTACACCCCTGATCACTTCTTTTTTTTTTCTTTCTTTTTTTCCCCCAAGACAGGGTTTCTCTGTGTATCCCTGGCTGTCCTGGAACTCACTCTATAGACCAGGCTGGTCTCAAGTGTTGGGACTAAAGGCATAGTCCACCACTGGTGGCCCAACTACTTACTTCAATATCATTTTCTTAATTATGAGTGAATATCTTTTTTTTCTTGCAATGTACATTTCCTTTCATGAATTCATTTTCCATCTCTACTTCTTTGATTTTGGGGACCGGATTTGCTGTAGCTCTGAGATTGGTCTTAACTATACAGTCCTCCTGCTTCAGGCTCCAAATGCTAGGATTATAGGTGTGCATGACTATGCCTAGTCTCTCCCTTTTCAAAAAACATTTCTCTTTTGGAGAGGAGAGCGCACACGCGGTACACTGCACAACCATGCGTGTGTGCGTGAGTATTTGTGTAGGTCAGAGGACAGCTTGCAGGGTTCGATTCTCTCCTCCCATGTGAGTTCTGGGTCTCTCACCATGTGAGCTCTGGGGATTGAACTCAGGTCATGCCAACCCCAATATCTTGCTCCCTTTAAGCAAAGTGAATATTTTCCAGCGATGCCTTCTCATCTTCAAAGAATGGATGACCAGAAAAAAGATAACACTGAGGTTTAATAGTTTTCACAAATGTGATTTCATCTGTAAGATGGAGTTAGCAAGCAGTCAGGAGAGGGCACTGTCCCAATGTGTCTCAGGGAAACACACAGCAGGGGTTACAGACTGCTAGTAGACCTTCCAGAAAGGTACCAAGAAGTTAATAGAGCCGCCAAACATCCATGCAGCAATGAATTTGTTTGTTTGTTTTGCTTTTTGAAACAAGGTTTCCGTAACCTCAAAAAGCCTAGATAACTCAAGCTAGCCTAAAATTCGTTGTATAGTCCAGGCAGGCTTGGAAATTTTTATCCCTCGGCCTCAGCCTCCCAAGTGCTTGGATTGTAGGTGTGTAGCACCACACCCAGCACGAAGTGAGACTGGAGACTGCCTTCTCGATCAATCCCAAACACAGTTTTCCTTTGCTGGTCTCACCTGTTTTCTTATGTGCCTTGGAGAAGAGGGTAAACCAACAGAGAAGCGTTTGCTGTGGAGGCAGTTGTGATCAGTCTGTTTTTATAAGACGCCACAGTACTTTCCAGACTTGCTTTGAGGGGGAGGATTTGAGGTTGAAGAAGTGTTTTTTTTTTCATTACAGAGGCATCTATGAGTATGAACTCACCTTGCGAACTGACCTCTATACAGACAAACACACCCAGTGGTTTTACTTTAGGGTTCAGAATACCAGAAAAGACGTCACCTACCGCTTCACCATTGTCAACTTGCTGAAGCCCAAGAGCCTTTATGCAGTAGGGATGAAACCTCTTATGTACTCTCAGTTGGATGCCATCACCTACAACATAGGCTGGAGAAGAGAAGGCCAGGAGATCAAGTACTACAAGAACACCACGGATGATGGGCAGCAGCCCTTGTACTGCCTCACCTGGACCGTTCAGTTTCCTCATGACCAGGACACTTGCTTCTTCGCCCACTTTTACCCCTACACTTACACTGACTTGCAGTGCTATCTCTTGTCAATTGCAAACAACCCCATCCAGTCTCAGTTTTGCAAGCTCCGAGCTCTGTGCAGGAGCCTAGCGGGGAACACCGTCTACTTGCTCACCATCACCAATCCATCCAGGACCCCTCAGGAGGCAGCCGCAAAGAAAGCGGTGGTGCTGAGTGCCAGAGTCCACCCTGGAGAAAGTAATGGCTCCTGGATCATGAAAGGCTTCTTGGACTTCATCCTTAGCAACTCCCCAGACGCCCAGCTCCTCAGGGACATCTTTGTCTTCAAGGTGATTCCCATGTTAAACCCAGATGGCGTGATTGTGGGGAATTACCGGTGTTCGTTGGCTGGAAGGGACTTGAACAGGCATTATAAAACTGTTCTTAAGGACTCTTTCCCTTGCATTTGGTACGCCAAGAATATGATCAAAAGGTGAGAGCTCTTTGTTGATAATTTTGTGAATGCTGTGACCTTCATGCCAGCTACTCTATCTATAAGGAGGACAGTCTTGTCTCCTGTTTTAGGAGTCTGGTATGGCTTTGGAGAGTCTTGGACTGTGGGTTAATTTTCAGTTCTTTAAATCTTATTAGATCTTTAATAGAAAATGGAGCATGTATCAACTTATCTGAAGGAGACCCCACACACAACAGGGGCTCCCTTTCAGACCCTGGGTAGCCACAGTGGTAGCTTGCTTTAGGAGTGTAAGCTAATGGTTTTTAGCAAGGCAGAGGGAGTTGGGGAGAAGGGAAAGAAAGGTCTGCCGGAGCCACATGCTCGCTCGAGTGGCCCGGTCCTGTCAAATCAACCATTTCCTTGTCCCTCACCTCTCTGGAATTGAACTTAAGGCTTACCACATGCTAGGCAAGCACTCTGTCACTGAGCTATAGTCTCAGTGTCATCTTAGTTTTGAAACAGGATCTCTCACTGAACCTAGAGCTGCCTGTTTCGGCTGGACTGGCTGGCTAGCAAGTCCCAGGGTTCTGTGTATCTCCACTCATCCTCTCCATGTTGAGGTTCTAGACAATCGCCACCACATTCAGCATTTATATGGGAACTGGAAATCTGAGCTCAGTCCCCATGTTTGCATAGCAAGCACTTTACCGACTGAGCCATCTCTCCAGCCCACTTATTTCCTGTTTGTTTTGATGCAGAGACTGTCATGGAATTAATTCACAATGTAGACCAGACTGGCCTCCCTCTGTTGGGATTAAAGCCTTGTGCTGTCATGCTGGACTCAGTTGTTTCTTCTTTAAAGAAGAAATTTGTGTATATGTGTGTAAGTGTGTACAGGTGCTTGTGTAGAGGCGGTTGGGAGCTGCCCATGTGGGTGCTGGGAACTGAACTCAGGTCCTTGGGCAGAGCCACTCGTGTTGTACGACACCGAGCCATCTCTCCAGCCCCCCCTTTTTGTTTTGTTTTTTGTTTGTTTGTTTGTTTGTTTTTTGAGACAGGGTTTCTCTGTGTAACAGCCCTGGCTGTCCTGGAACTTACTCTGTAGACCAGGCTGGCCTCGAACTCACAGAGATCTACCTGCCTCTGCCTCCCGAGTGCTGGGATTAAAGGCGTGCGCCACCAACGCCTGGCGGCGTTTCATTTTTTAAATAAAACACTTGGATGGAAAAGGTCAGGGAAGTTTTACTATTCATATAAAACTGCAGTCATAAAGAAGTTAATAGTGCTTCCAAAACAATACAGAGAAACCCTGTCTCATAAAACCAAAAAAAAAAAAAAAAAAAGAAGTTAACAGTGCTCAAGTAGGAAGTAACAGATACTATGATCAGTACTTTACACTTTGCTCCATTTAATATCCCCATTAACCCTATGAGATTACATACGGTCACTATCCACTGTGGCATGCAATAAGGAAATTGAGTTCCAAAACTTGTTAAAAAACTTAAACAAGGTTTCAAGCTCATCAACAGGGTAGGTATTTGGACACAGGCTATCTGATTCCAGGATCTGAGTCCCCTAATATCATCAAAAGTTGCTTCTAAAGAAGATAAAGTAATAAATTAGCCTGCACTTTTGAGCCTGTGTGAAAGTAGCTTGAAGCTATCGGATAGTAGCGCCCATCTTAAAAGAGCGGCCATTCCACTGGAGGTGGACACAGCAGATAAGATATGATGGTATAATTCTAACCACACCTGTGCGAACAGATAGGAGAAGGGTTGGGCTCAGGCTTTTGGCCAACATGTGAGAACTGGTTTTACTATTGACTAAGTCTGTGACCATAGGTAGGCAAGTGATTTAATCTCTTATGAGTTTGGATGTCCACTACATCCTTTGTTCCTCAATAGACTCCTGGAAGAAAGAGAGGTTCTCTTGTATTGTGATTTCCATGGTCACAGCCGCAAGAACAATATCTTCCTGTATGGCTGTAACAGCAACAGTCGTAAGCATTGGCTTCATGAGCGTGTCTTCCCTTTAATGTTGAGCAAAAATGCACCAGATAAGGTAAGCATGTGCCTTCAGTTTGAGACAGAGGAACAAAGCATATTTCCTAGATGAAGTGTCTTATTTGGCTCATCACGTTTAATGCTATTATCCTTAGTGAATCCCGGGAACCTAGGTGTCAAGAATTAAGATGTGCCTTAAGAATTGCTAGACCAGGGACTGGAGAATTGGCTCAGTGGTTAAGACTACCTGTTGTCCTTATAGAAGATCCAGGTTCAATTCCCAGCTCTTATGTGGTGACCTCAGCCATCTGTAACTCCAGTTCTAGGGGATCTGATGCCTTCTTCTGATCTCTAAGAGCACCAGTCACACACACAGTGCACATACATACATTCCTGGTAAACACACAACACATAAACATTTTAAATCTAAAATAATTATTTCTTTTTGAGGCAGTGTTTCTCTGTGTAGCCCTAGCTGTCCTGGAACTCATTCTGTACACCAAGCTGTCATTGTACTCACAGAGATTGCCCTGCTTCTGCCTTCCAAGTGCTGGGATTAAAGGCTTGCAACACCATGCCCAAGCTAAAAAAAAAAGTTTTTCAAATAATTTTTTAAAATGTTGCTTGATTCCCTGTCTCAAAAAATTTTTTTTGCTGGATCATCTAGGCATGGTGGTACATGCCTTTAATCCCAGAACTCTGGAGGCAGAAACTATCAGATCTCTGTGACTTTGAGGACAGTCTAATCTACATAGCAAGTCCTAGGCCAGTCATTGTTATGCCAAGTTAGTGAGACCCCAAAAGGACCACCAAAGAGCCGACTCACTCACTGATGCAAACGCACAAGGTTTAATGTTAAGTTACAAGCCTCAGCAGGGACCCTGTCCAGCAAACTGGCACAGCTGCTGCAGGAAAAGGATGCCTGGCCTCAGTTGCAAGGGGTTTTTAAAGGAAAAAAAGAAAAAAACAGCAAGCAGGGTGGTACATGCCTTGACTGTTCAGGATTGGGTAAGAGTAGGTGACCTTTGGATTCACTGATGTGGGGGCTAGGGGAATTTTTTAATTGTTACTAACAGTTGCCCACAAGGAAAGTTGTGACAGAAGATGTTATTTATCAAAATTAGTCATTGCCTAACCACCCGTGTGGGGTCACTTTGACCGAGGTGGGCACAGTTTGGGTGCTCCTTGAAACTGTTTATGGTTCCTTGGCTGGAGTTGAATCAGCCTTGTGCCATGCAGGGAGTTTCTCAAGGTAGCTTTTTCTGAGGATAGAGTTAACTCCGTCCTCCTCTCCATTTTACATTGCTCTTACAGCCATGGCTACAAAGTAAGATCCTGACAAAAAGCAAAAAAGGAAAGGAATTGCTGGGTCCATGACTTGATAAGGGATCAAGTATGGAATATCCATATAGTGGAATGTTATTTACAATAAGGTAGGTTTTAAATGCTGATTTGCTAGGACACAGATGCACCTTGATCACATTAAGTTAAGTGCAAGAAGTCAGATGAAATACTTCAGAAAAGACTTTTTTTCTTTCAAATCATACCAGGGATCAACCGGGGCCTTGTTTGTGCTAACTATTGAGCAATATCTGCAGTAAAGGCAAATCTACATTTGTTTTCAGAACAGGGTAGTAAAAGAACGCCCCAGCACATGTGTGAAGGTCATAGGACAACCGTCAGGAGTAGGTTCCCTCCTTCTACCATGTGGGTTCCAGGGATAAAAATCAGGTCATTAGACTTGGTGGCAAAGTGCCTCTACTCACTGATCATCTTGCCAGCCCATGGCAAATCTATAAAGCTAGAAGTGGCTCAGTGATTGCTGTGTGTGGTGTGGGATGTCGGGTGAGTGAATAGGAGGGTGTACTGAGGATCTTTTTGTTTGGGTTGTTTCCATCAGTAGAGCTGCCATCAGCCTGGGACTTGTAAAGGTGGGCAGGGGCCTTAGCGTCAGCTACGACTGTAGTCCTTGGGTTTCTCCTGTGGTTACGCAGATGTTCCAAACTCGGATTGTAGTGATGGCTGAACAACTGTGTATACACGATAAGCCACTGGATTGTGTTTGGAGTTTTTAATTTGGGGGCTGTGTTTTTGTTTGTTCGAGACATGGTCTTGGTCGGTATCCCTGGCTGCCCCCAAATTCTCTGTTTACATCAGCAGTAGCCCTACTGTCTCTCCCTCTCAAGTATCAGAGTTACAGGCATGCACCACTGTGCCGGACTGAGTTATGTACATTGACTAGGTAATTGTGCAATGTAAATGAATTTGGGTGTTTTGTTTGCTTGTTTTGGTTTTCCAGACAGGGTTTCTCTGTGACTTTGGAACCTGTCGTGGAACTTGCTCTGTAGACCAGACTGGCCTAGAACTCACAGAGATCCACCTGCCTCTGCCTCCTGAGTGCTGGGATTAAAGGTGTACTGTACCACTGCCTGGCAAATTGTTTTTTTCATGTGTAAATTATTTCAGTAAAGAGTGTGTGTGTGTGTGTGTGTGTTGAACTCAGGGCTTCATGCATACTAAGGACATGCCCCAGCACTGAGCTCAAACCCATCTCAAGATTTGTTTGTTTATCTGGTTTTTTGAAACAGGGTTTCCTCTGGTTAGTCCCAACTATCTTGGGACTGGTTTTGTAGATCATATGGTCTAGAACTCAGAGCTCCACCCGACTGCCTCTGCCTCCAGAGTGCTGGGGTTAAAGGTGTGGCCACCACTGCCCATCCATAAGTTTTTTAGAAATTGCTCTGGGTATTTCACCTGGGCAAAAGCTGAAACTCTTGATGGGTGAGGTGATTATCTGTCACCTTTCACTCTCTGCTTAGCAGGGGAAGGCTTTAAAGGACAAGCACAGTGTTAATGTCACACAGGGGAGATGGCCCAGTTGGTAAAATGTTGGCCGTGCAAGCATGGGGACTCTGAGTCTGAGTCCACATAAAAAGCTGGGCATGTGATGACTACTTGGAACCCAGTGTTGAGGAGACAGGTGCATCCATGGGGCTAGACAGCTGCCTGGCCCACTCAGCAGTCCCAGGCTCCTGAGAGGTCCTGTCTCAAAACAAAAGTGAATGGCTCCTAAAGAAAGACACCCAAGGTTGACCTTTGACCTCTACCTGTGCATGCACATACACACACTGATTCACATGCACATCTATGCACACCCCCCACACAAAAATGTTAATGTGATATGAGTGTCTACACAAGAGCCCAAATATCCAGGCCTGGTAACACACAGGTCCATAATCCTAGCACTTTGGAGGCCAAGGCAGGAGACATCATGGAGCTGGCTTAGACTGAGAACTGCAAAGCTGGTGAAAAGAGCTTCACAGCTTCATAGTTAACAGCTTTGTGATCAATGGGAAAACATAAATGATTTACATTAGTTTAGAAGTTGTTTTTTCCCATTACAAGCTGATTCACAAATGTAAGTGCCATTAGAGATTGGATTAGGTTTAGAAAAATGGTAGTTCAAATTTTATCCCACTAGGCTCTATGTAACAAGACTGGATACGTAGTTCAGTTCAGGGGTGCTTGCCCAGCTTGTGTAAACTGGACAATGCAGTCCACACCTGTTATCCTAGCACTCAGGAGGTAGGGACAGAAGATTCAGAGCTTCAGGGGTTATCCTTGGCTACATAGTGAGTTTGAAGCCAACCTGGGTTACATAAACTCCCAAGCCAAAAATTAAAACCAACGTGAGAAATGTTTTACATGTGCCATTCTTATTACACAGAGAAGCATTTTTCTACCCCTTTTTTGTCTTCAGATGAAATCATAACTATAAGTCAGTGTCTAAAGCAGCTAAGTACAGAGCTGCAGCGGCTGAACATTGGGGCAGGGTTGTGGCAGGAATACTCAAAGGTACCTCCCTAGAACCCCTGGATCCACAGGGCTAGACAATGAGATACCTTCTTGTAGGGCTTAGCAGGACAGGGTGGTGTCAAGATATGTTACAGACTGAATGATGAAGAGCTGAGCTGGGCATAAAAGGAAAAGGAGGGTATTGAACTCCTAGAGAAAAGACTAACCGTGGAGGGGGAGAGCTCTAGACAGAGATTGTGGGACTAAGAAACATCCAAATCAAAAAGTATACTTGGAGGAAAACCTAGGTCTGAGAGTTCCTATTTCATGACAGAAAATAAGTCAGAGCCTGTGTGGAGCTCATGTGTGAGCCCTGGCATTCACAGGGTGCAGGAGGGCTGAGGAGGGCTGGGTTACATGTGAAGAAAAGGAAGAACCGGCATAGAAAAGCTGGCTGGTGCCAGACATGGCCAAGTCTGCCCGTGTCCCCAGATCTCCAGGGATCCTGGTCTAACACGGTGCTCTGGGAGGAGGAGCAAATAAGGCCGGAAAATAGAATTATATGTGTCTTTCTCTTTTCAAGATCACAGTCCACATTAAATGTTGTGAGGCCTATTTGGTTAATACCCTCCCTCCTCATCCGAGGTGACAACAGAGCTCCTCACCCACCTGTAGCTGTTTTTTTGTTTTGTTTTGTTTTGTTTTCCCTTTGCTCTTCAGGGGCCCACCGATCCCAAATAAATCACACGGAGTCTTCTTACTTGTGAGTGCCTGGCCTTAGCTTGGTTTGTTCTAGGCAGCTCTTCTTAACTTAAATTGTCCCATGTACCTTTTGCCTCTGGGCTTTTCCCTTTCTCTACTCTATATACCTTTCTTCTTTTTTTTTTAAATTTTATTTATTATTAAATATACAGTGTTCTGCCTGCACGCCAGAAGAGGGCACCAGATCTTGTTACAGATGGTTGTGAGCCACCATGTGGTTGCTGGGAATTGAACTCAGGACCTCTGGAAGAGCAGCCAGTGCTCTTAACCCATGAGCCATCTCTCCAGCCCCCTTTTCTTTACTTCTTACTCTGTGGCTGGCCCCTGGCATCCTCCTCCTCCTTTTCTCTATCCTCCTTCTTCTTCCTCCTATTTATTTCTCCCATTTAGTCTCTGCATGCCAGCCAAGACTGTTTCTTTCTCCTGCTTAACTATTTATTAGACTAGCTGGGTATTTTAGACAGGCAAAGTAACACAGCTTTACAGAGTGAAACAAATGAAGCATAAACTGGGCATTGGTGGCACACACCTTTAATCCCAGCACTTGGGAGGCAGAGGCAGGAGGATCTCTGTGAGTTCAAAGCCAGCCTGGTCTACAGAGCTAGTTCCAGAACAGCTAGGGCTGTTACACAGAGAAACCCTATCTCAAAACAAAACAAAAAACAAAACAAAACAAATGTAACATAAAAGAATGCAACACATCTTTGCTATCATTAAACAAATATTCCATAGCATAAACAAATGTAACACATTTTAAACTAATACTTCACAACACCCACCACCACCTTTTGATATTTCTCAAAATTAGTGGTGGGTGCACTTTGACCCCAGCACTTGGGAGGCAGAGGCAGGCGGATCTCTGGTCTACATAGCTAGTTCCAGGATAGCCAGGGCTACACAGAGAAACCCTGTGTTGAAAAACCAAAACCAATGGAATATATTTTAGGAAATAATACTCTCTTGAGAGCCATTCTTGTTTTATACTAATGACTCTTAGACAGCGTGCATTTGGCATTTTGTATAATTAACAGAGAGTTTGGATTTCTTTTTAGTTCTCTTTTGACAGTTGTAACTTTAAGGTCCAAAAATGCAAAGAAGGGACGGGACGAGTTGTGATGTGGCGGATGGGCATCATAAACAGCTACACCATGGAGTCTACCTTTGGCGGGTCCACGCTGGGTAAGAGGCAAGCCTGGCAGGGGAAGCCTGCCACAGCATCTGGGAGATGAAAGGCTTGGGAAGCCAGAGAAATAACTGATGTGGAGGATTTCCTTGCTGGCCTTAGGGACCATAAGTACGAAGTGGGATACAGTGCATCAGTGAGCTGCACATCACAGTGTTTCCTCAGGACCTGGGATCAGGAATCCGTTTTGACTTCCAGCTGCATTTATTAAGTTCTGTGATCCTGAGTCAGTTGGTTAACTTCTTTGAAGCTCATATCCCCTCTAAGTGATAATAATAGTACCTGAATATTGCTTTAGCAGGCAGTACCTGTCTCAAAGTAAAACCAAAATAATTTTTTAAAACTTTATAATCCATTACAATAGGAAACTTTTTCATTGTCGAAAATTCTTCTGAACCAAGCTAAAGCTAGTTTTAGTTTGTTCCTGTTCAGAAACATACTATTCTAGAATAAGAAGTGGTATTTTGTTTGTTTGTTTGTTTTGTTTTTTGAGACAGGGTTTCTCTGTATTGTTTTGGAGGCTGTCCTAGAACTCGCTCTGTACACCAGGCTGGCCTCACACTCACAGAGATCCACCTGCCTCTGCCTCCCGAGTGCTGGAATTAAAGGCGTGCACCACCAACGCCCGGCAAGAAGTGATATTTTAAACTTACTTTTTTTTTTTTTTTGGTTTTTTTTTTTTTTTTTTTTTTGAGACAGGGTTTCTCTGTGGCTTTGGAGGCTGTCCTGGAACTCGATTGGTAGTCCAGGCTGGTCTCAAACTTACAGAGATCCGCCTGCCTCTGCCTCCCGAGTGCTAGGATTAAAGGCGTGCACCACCAACACCCGGCAATTTACTTTTATTTTTAATTTGTGTATAGTGTGTGTGTGTGTGTGTGTGTGTGTGTGTGTGTGTGTATCATGTGTGTCTGTCATTCTCTCTCTGTATGTCTATCATGTGTGTGCAGTTGCTTACAATGGTCAGAAAAGGGTGTTGGATCCCCTGGAGCTGGAGTTACAGGCAGTTGTGAGTGGTTCACTGTGGGTGCTGGGAACCAAACTCGGGTCCTGTGGAAGCGCTATTAATGCTCAGCCATTTCTCCAGCCCTATGGCGTGTGATATTATAAACATCTACTCACAAATTAGATCTGCATTTAGCACGTAAGATTGAGGAGACTGGAAATATGCCTCAGCTGTCAAGAGGACTTACCACTCTTGGAGAGGATCTAGGTTCAATTCCCAGAACCCACATGCTCACAACCATCTGTAAGTTCAGTTCCAGGGGATCTGACGCCCTCTTCTGACTTCTGAAGTCACCAAGCACACGCATGGTACAAACATACATGAAGAAAAAAGCATTGATGTTTGTGAAATAAACATAAATATAAAATCTTAAAAGCAAACTAAAAGATGTAGGGCTAGAGCGATAACTCAGTGGTTGAGCAATGCTTGCTGCTCTTCCAGAGCACCTGGGTTTCATCCCGGCACTCATGTCCAGGAGTTCACAACTGTCTGTCACTCCCACTCCTGAGGACCCAGTGCCTCTGGTCTCCCTGGGCACTTGTACTTATGTACACAGAAACCTACAAGTACACACAATTTTTAGCATTTTATTTTCATATCTATGTATGTGAGTCTTTTGCCTGCATATATGTATGTCTGCCACATGCATGCAGTGCCCTCTCAATTCAGAAGAGATCATTGGACTCCTGGAACTGGAGTTATGGATGGTTATGAGCCACCATGTGGGTGCAGGGACCCTAAACTGGGTTCCCTGCAAGAGCAGCAAGTGTTCTAAACTGCTAAGCCACCTCTCCACCCCCAGTTTTTAAAAGTCTAACAAAAAATTATGATTTTCTTCCAGGTAGTAAAAGAGACACCCATTTTACTGTTGAGGACCTGAAGTCTCTAGGTTATCATGTCTGTGACACTATCCTGGATTTCTGTGATCCTGACCAGACCAAGGTAAAAACAGCTTCAAGAAATGTGGTACCACTACTCTGCTGAGTTTCACACGGTCCAGAGTCCACCTGATGATCTCTGTTTCCTCTTAATATTTTTTTAACCTGATGTTTTTAACCACCAGAGAAAATAGAACCCCTGGCCTTAAACTTCAACAAATGGTGACACTTAATAATCCCCCTAGAGCCAGGCGTTGGTGGCACATGCCTTTAATCCCAGCACTCGGGAGGCAGAGGCAGGCGGATCTCTGTGAGTTCGAGGCCAACCTGGTCTACAGAGCGAGTTCCAGGACAGCCTCTAAAACAATACAGAGAAACCCTGTCTCGAAATCCCCCCAAAATATAATAAACCCCCTAGAAGGAAGAGGCCATCCTTTGGCTCCCCTCTTCCTAACTGACAGGATGGCTCATGGCTGCACTGGTTCACACTTCCTTGTCTTCTGTTTCAGAAAAATCGCATACATGGCATACTTGTCAATCCTGTCCTCTGCACTAGTGGATGCCCCTCTGCAGCCTGCCTAAGTGAGGTCAGGCCGTGTTCACCAGTGCCTTCCTCTTTTCTGTGTCATCAGGCTTTTCATCTTCTTTTCTCCTCCTGAGACAGGGTTTCTCTGCATTGTTTTGGAGGCTGAACTGGAGGGAACTCGCTCTGTAGACCAGGCTGGTCTCAAACTCACAGAGATCCGCCTGCCTCTGCCTCCCGAGTGCTGGGATTAAAGTCGTGTGCCACCAGTGCCGGCTCAGGCTTTTCATCTTTTTTCCTTCCCTTCCTCGGCCAGTGTTGTCAAGCTTGCCTCTGTCTGAAAGCACGAAGGTTTCCTTTGACCTTGTTCTTCTGGTGGCTACTTCTGATGCCCTCACTCAGTTTGGGAGGGGCTGCCCATAGTCTCTAACGCCTCTCTCATATCCCTGTTTAAGTGTTGGCTTGATAAGCACTACCCTGGATTTGATGCTTGGTAAAAAATTAAAGGACTGCTTAATCAGTGCTTCCTTTTCCTCTGCTGGTGCTGGAGATGGAGCACAAAACCCCCTAGCTCACCTGAGCCAAGCTCTCTCCTACTGACCTACATCTTTATCCAAACCATCCTTGCCATAGGCCAAAGTCAGAACAATGGCATTCTAACTACTCCTCCCTTGTAATTCAGAAAAAATAGATGAAACAATTGTAGAAGTGGGTTAAAGTGGGTTATAGCCAGAGAAGTGACACAGGCAGTGCTCGTTGACCTTCTGCTTTGTAATAGCTTTATTTGTATAGCCCAGGCCACGTATCCATTACCATATCCTTAGTAGAAGGGATTACAGTTTACCCCATCAATAAATGTCCTTCAACGCACCCTCAAAAGCATCTCATGACTAGTGCATAAAACTTACCCCCCCAAAAAAACCCTTCTTCCCTCTGCTGCAGTACACTCAGTGTCTACAAGAGCTTAAGGAGCTCTTACAACAGGAAATCCACAAGAAGCTCAATAACTTGGGACAAGATATGGACTTAGAAGGAAGCTGGAGTGACATTCCTTTGTCAGACATTGAATCCAGGTAACATTTAATTTCAATGAAAATCTGGGAGACAGAGGCAGGGGGATTGGGAATTGAAGGAAAGCCTGTGTTACATTTACATGACATCCTGTCCTCTTATTTATTTGTTTATCTATCTATCCATCCATCTATCTAATTATTTTGAGACAAGGTCTTACTGTATTGCCATTGCTGACCTGGGTCACACAGAGATCTGCCTGCCTCTGCTTTATTAAAAGCATGTCCATTTCCTGAGACATTGGCCAGGTGTGGTAGCACATGCCTTTAATCCCAGCACTCTGGAGGGAGATGTAACCAGATCTCTATAGTGACTTCCAGGAAAGCCAGGGCTACATAGAGAGACCCTATATCTTAGTTACTTTTCTATTGCTACAACAAAATACGGTGACCAAGATAACTTAGAAAAGAGTTTGTAATTGAACTTGAGGTTTAGAGGGCTGGAGTCCAGTGACCAAGATAACTTAGAAAAGAGTTTGTAATTGAACTTGAGGTTTAGAGGGCTGGAGTCCAGTGACCAAGATAACTTAGAAAAGAGTTTGTAATTGAACTTGAGGTTTAGAGGGCTAGAGTCCAGTGACCAAGATAACTTAGAAAAGAGTTTGTAATTGAAATTGAGGTTTAGAGGGCTGGAGTCCATGATGGCAGAGCAAAGGCATGCTAGGACAGCTGAGAGCACAAATCTTTTCTTTGTTGTTTGTTTTATCGTGTTTTTGTTTGGGACAGGGTCTCACTAGATATCTCACTAGTCCGAGAACTCACTATGTAAACCGGGCTGGCCTTGAACCCACAAAGATCTGCCTGCCTCTGCCTCCCAGGTGCTGAGATTAAAGGTGTGCACCACCACCCTCTGAGAGCTCATATCTTGAGCTGAAAGTAGGAGGCAGAGAGACACTGTGAATGGCTCCATCTTTGGAAACCTCAAGTCCTCCCCCAGTGATAGACCTCCTCCGAAAAGGCCACATCTCCTAGTCCTTCCCAAACAGTTCCACTAACTGGGGTGCATATGAGTCTCTGAGGGCCATTCTCATGCCTGGATTCTGGGTGCATTTTGGTTTATTAAGGTCTTTAATGTTTTATTTAATTTTAAAGTTTTATTTTTATTTTATATGAATGAATTTTTTGCCTGCACGTAGTATGTATGTGTATCACATGTGTGCCTGGTGTCCATAGAGATCATAAAAGGGCATCAGATCCAACAGCCTCAAAGCCTCCTCCTTCACTGGAGAAGCCTTTGAGAACAGCATATTGGAAATCAGATCACAGGAAATAGGGCTTTCTTCCCGCTCTGCTGTGGTGGGACTCCTTGTTACACACCACGTGGAGGCAGCAAAATGGAGTGAAGGGCTAGGCAAGTGGTTTGTTTTATGTGGATGGGTGTTTTGACTTCATGCATATGTGTGCGTCACAAGCATGCAGTGACTGTGGGGCTCAAAAGAGGGCATTGGATTCTTTGGAATTTGCATGGCAGAAAGTTGTGAGCTACCCTATGGGCCCTGGGAACTGAACTCAGATCTTCTGAGAGAGCAGCCAGTGCTCTTGGTCCCTGAACAGTATCTCTAGTTCCCTCAACAATTTTTTCTGTTTTTCTTCTTCTTTCTTTATTTTGTGTGTGTTTGTTTGTTGGTTTTTTGTTTTTTTTCGAGACAGGGTTTCTCTGTGTTGTTTTGGAGGCTGTCCGCCTGGCACTCACTCTGTAGAACAGGCTGGCCTCGAACTCACAGAGATCCCCTGCCTCTGCCTCACCAATGCCCAGCTGTTGTTTGTTCTTTTGAGTCAAGAGTCTCACAATGTAGACTTGACTGGCCTGGAACTCACTGTGTAGACCAGGCTGGCCTCCAAGTCAGAGAAACCCAGGTGCCTCCGCCTCCTGAGTGCTGGGATTAAGGACACACATTGCCACGTGCAGCTCGTTCTTTCTTTATGGAGACAGGGTTTGACCATAGGCTCGGTTGGACTCAGTGGCAGCAGTCCTGCTTCCGGGCCCCAATGCTGGCGTTAGACTAGTGCCCCACTACACCTGGCTAACAGCTCTTGAAGTAATTTGATGGCGCTTACCCTGCTGATGATGTATCACATTTATTTACTTATACATTCAGCACGTTTTCCCAGAGTAATGGGTAGAATCCTGGCTTGGGGGATTGGTGTCACCCCAGAATGAAGTGCCTTTGTCCTCAGGGACACCACAGTCTCTAGGGCTGCACACTGTATGTCCCACGGCCCCTCTCACCCTCCGCCAGGCACCTTTGCACGCTCAGCCGGTGTTTGCTTTGCATACTGATTGCGAACTCCTCGAGCAGAGCGTCTGCTTCCTTGGATAACTGTTCTTCCCGTGTCTTCTCGGTTTTTCCTAGCACCAGTGGCTCTGACAGCTCCCTCTCGGATGGCCTTCCTGCTCACCTGCTGAACTTAGCAGACGAGGTGAGAGTTCTCTGCTTCTTGTATACACCCAAAGCATTGGAACTTCAAAACAGAGCCCAAACACCGTAACTTATGCTGGGTAATTGGGAAAATGTTCCAACAGTCCTAGAATCTACAGGAACTATAGCACCAGCCCCAGGGATGCAGCTCCGGAAGAAAGCAATTGCCTAGTAGGAGTGAATTCCTGCTTACAGTCACCAGTAACTTAAAAAAAAAAAAAAAAAGCAATAGTGTCCTAGCTACCCCCAGTAAGCTTCTGGCTTAATTGCTGGGGCTTCTTTCTGATAACACTGTATTTTAACCATATTTAACATGTCAGTGACCAGAGTCACCTGGATCTGACCTTGTTATAAGTCATCTGGTTTATGTTGTCAATCACGAGCACTTGGCTATGGATGCAGGTGCCCCTTTGGTAGCCGTTGGTCCAGGTGCTATTTGGTAGCCATCTGTGTCTGTGGGAGTCAGGCATGGTAAACAGGGAGCAGCCTCTGGAAAGAAGGTGGCTGGACTGTTGGTTCCTTCTCCACACCAATAAGTAAGGTCCACATGCCAGGCTGCTGTGTGCATGCTGTTATGCCGAGACCGCCTGCCTCATGAGGATGAGTGTAACCCCGAGAGCCCCTCTGATCAGTCCCTCTGTAACTTCTGGGACAGTTGAATCAGAAGGCGATGTTGAAGAAGCCAAAAAAGAAGAGACTCCAGACTAGAAAACAGCGAAATGAGCAGTACCAGAAGAACTATTTGATGCGGGAGCTAAAGCTGACAGAGAACAACACCCCAGTAAGCAATCTCTGCTGCCCCCTCCTGCTGTCTGTCCTTCCTGTTCCACAGATGAAGAGGAGGCAGGGCTAGAGTGGAGCCCAGCCAGAAGGGGTGGTGGGAAGAGGGGCGCTTGCTTTTTGAGGTCAGAGCAGCTCCTCAGGTCCTCTGGACGTGTCTGAGCAGTTCTTAGCCTCACCCCACTGGTCCTCTCCGCACTCTACTCAGGCCCAGCGGGAACCGGTTATGACTAAACTGAACTCCCACAGGAAAGAGGTGGAGTTGGAGCGTGTTAGCAGGAGCTCAGCTAGAGTGGCTGGGTGGCTGAGCTGAGGGATTGGGCGTGGGGGGGGCACACCTCTCCACCTTGTTTGTAGCTACCATACCCGCTTTCTTTCTTTCTTTTTTTTTTTTTTTTTTTTTTTTTTTTGGTTTTCCAAGACAGGGTTTCTCTGTGGCTTTGGATACTGTCCTGGAACTAGCTCTTGTAGACCAGGCTGGTCTTGAACTCACAGAGATTCACCTGCCTCTGCCTCCCGAGTGCTGGGATTAAAGGCGTGCGTCACCAACGTCTGGCCCCATACCCGCTTTCTAATATGAGAAATGCTTTCAAGAGCGGCTCAATGTTGGGTGAATCGGGTAGAGAAGGAATGATCGACTGAAAAACATTTCACTCAATCTTTGTAGGGAAGGGCAAGATTTCCTCCTACTCTGCAAAAGCAGCCTACTTTTTTGAAAAATCCTGAGAATTCTAGTTCTTCAATAATGAGAAATGAAAAACCAAGGCTCAATGAGGTAGTATTTTTGCTTGACTCTTTGTCACACAGATTCTCTGATTTCTCCAATTAGCACATCAGTTTCACTAGGTGAAGGATGCAGTAGCCATTGTGCTATCTGGAGGTGAAGATGATGCTAACATTGCTTTGGATTAAAAACTGAAACCTTATATCAAATATTGACGATTTGTGGTTTTCTATCAAGAGGAGGCTGCTTTACTTAGCCATACAAGCATTCATACACACACCCACACAGTAGCAAGCTCTGTCTTGTGCCTATGCTGTGACACAGGTACTGTCCTTTCCCCGGAGACCTCAGAACCTGGTGGGACTTTTCAACAAGTCAGCAGGAACTGTGTTGCAGAGAGAGACACACAGAGAAGGGGCAGGTGGACAGTTTTCAGAACTTTAGAATCTTACAGATGAAATCCTTGATTGACACTAGATATGTGGACACACACCTGTAATCCCAGCATTTGAGAAGTAGAAGCAGGGGAACCAATGAGATCTACATGAGAAAATGGAAAATATTTCGGAGAATAAGTATATAGCTCTATGGTAGGAAACTTGCCCTGAGTTCAAGTCTCAGCATTGCTTTAAAAGTTGTTTTTTTGGGGGGGCTGGAGAGATGGCTCAGAGGATAAGAGCACTGGCTGCTCTACCAGAGGTCCTGAGTTCAATTCCCAGCAACCACATGGTGGCTCACAACCATCTGTAATGAGATCTGATGTCCTCTTCTGATCTGAGGGGATACAGTCAGGCAGAACACTGTATAACTAATAAATAAATAAATCTTTTTAAAAAAGTTGTTTTTTGAACCAGGAATAGTGAGATAGGCCTATAATACCAGCTGCTAAAAAGACTAAGACAGGAGAACCACAAGTTCAAGGCAAGTTTGGGTAACTTAGAAAGACCGCTCTCAAACTGTGGAGGAGAAGGTCCTGGAAAGATGGCTTAGCAGTTCAGAGTGCTTGTTGTTGTTGCAGAGGTTCAGTCCCAGCACCCCACGTCATAGCCATCCATAGCTCCAGAAGATCTAATGCCCTCTTCTGGCCTCAGGCACCCGTGTGTACATGGCACACACTTATACAGATATAGATTGCAACTACATACATCCCCAAATAAAGATTTTTTTTTAGTTGGGCAGTGGTGACGCACATCTTTAATCCCAGCACTTGGGAGGCAGAGGCAGGAGGATCTCTGTGAGTTCAAGGCCAGCCTGGTCTACAAAGGTACACAGAGAAGCCCTGTCTCTAAAAAAAAAAAAAATTAATGATACCAAATGATCTTCAGAAGCGGGTTGGGGAGATGGTTCATTTGGCCAAGTGCAGGTGTGAAAGCATGAGGACCTTGGTATGGCTCTGTAGCCCCACACGGAGCCTGACATGGTTGTCCACTGTAATCTCAGCAGGAGAGGCGCACAGGAAGATCCCAGGACCTTGGTGGCCGGCCAGGCTAGTGAACTGATGAACTCCACACCTGATGTCACCCTGACCACACATGTTAACATACACATACACTATATACATAACACATATACAACATACCTTCAGGCTGTATGTGTAAGTGCACATAAGAAAATTAATAAATTTCATATTTACATTGGGATGCCATCTCTAAGATATCTCATTATGTATATGTACATATCACAAAATCAGAAAAAATAATCTGAAATCCAAAACACTTGTGCTCCTAAGCATTTCTGAGAACTCTATATTGTGTGAATTACTCAATCAGCCAGGAGCTTAGTTTCTGACCTGAAACACGGTGGTGCAGAAACCTGCAGTCTATGGTGGCTTTAACTCTAGATGGGAAACTAGCAAGAACCTGGCATGTAGTAGGCACCGAATAAACATTAGTTCTCTTCTGAGTTGTTACTCATGTGTGCTTTGCCTTTATTTTGTGTTATATTATCCTCATGAGTCAACATGCATGAATGAAAATCACAGGACTAATGTGTATTCAGTATACCCACAATGTTCACAAGGAAAACTTAGCGAGGATGTATTCATTTATTTTAGACACAATTAAGTGGAAGAGACAAAGGCACCTCCCTGGATCCACCATTGACCAGCCTGGTTCTACCTAAGAATAAAGACATAACTCAGGTACTTCACCTCATTTATACATACACACACCAACAGTTAATTTTAGTTAATTTTCTTGCTTGTTTGTTTTTGTATGTGTGTTTAACCTTGTTTTGTTTGAGACAGATTCTCAACATATAGCCCCTGCTAGCCTAAAACTTGTTATACAGACCTGGCTGGCCTCACAGGCTTATGACCATCTTCCTGCCTCTGCCTCCCAAGTGCTAAAATCATAGGTATGTACCACCACATCCAGCTTAATTAATTTTCATACACAGTGTGGTTTGGATGAATGGTGCTGTTATCCATTCAGACGTGTTCTGCCCAGATGAAAATCTAAGGTAGTCTGTACCCTCAGGCTCAAACCCTCAAGCCACCTGGCCACTCTGGAGTCACTTTTGCCATTTGGGAGGCCAAGGCAAATCTACTAATGAGACCCTGTCTCAAAAAGCCAGAGAAAGGTGCCTTAGGCTTTATACAGTCTTGGGTGTGACAAGAAGATATTCCCTCCATGTGCCGGGTAGAACAGAGTTTGAAAACACTGCACTAACTTAAGTGAATTGATGTCTTACAAGTCTTTTCATAGGTTGATTCTTGTGTAGATACTCTCATTTACCTATCTGAGTCTTCTGGAGAACCTATAAGTGTGAGACTCCTAAAAATAGGGTCCTCAAGGGAGAGTGACAAGACAGATTACCACAGAGTAGGACACACTGAAGAACAAGGCTGAGAAGTTTAAATGCAACTGGTGGTTGAGGCAGAAGGATCACAAGCTTGGGGCCAGGCAATGCATTTGAGACCAGCCAGGACTACATAGCAAGTCCTTGTTTCTAAAATGATAATCATGGAAGCTAGGTGTAGTGGCACATGCTTTTAGTCCCAGCACCTGGGAGACAGATGTGGGTGGATCTCTGTAAATTAGAGGACAGCCTAGTCTACCTAGTGAGTTCCAGGACAACCAGGAGTATGTAGAAAGACTGTCTCAAAAAACAAAAATAAACCAACAATTAAACCCAAAACTCAATAATAACAGTTAAGGAGTAGAGAGATGGCTCAGCGGTTAGGAGCAGTTGCTGCTCTTCTGAGGGCCTGAGTTCTGTTCCCAACACCCATATGGTGGCTCATAGCATCCATTCCAGGGAATCTAACATCTTCTGTGCACATACAAACACGTAATAAAAACATTTTATGTTTTATTTTATAATGTAAAATATTTTCTTACAGATAAAGTAGTATTATCTTTGAACAGCTAACAAATCAAGTCAAACTAAAGAAAGTTGTAGCAGACTAGTAAGTGATAAGCTTATCCTTGTTCTTCACTCAGCATCCATTGCTTTCAAGCCTACAGGTGACAGACCTTATTACAACTAAAACACGCTGATTAGCCCATAACATGAAAGTCAGTCCTGTTAATGCCAGCGAGCTGGGTGGACGCCAGGCAGCCCTTTCTCATCACTTCGTCCTCTTGAGTTTTCCTGTGGAGTCTTTTCTAATGGGAATGCAGTGTAACTGCCAGAGCATGTCAGTAAGCAAGCTGGAAATGCGGGGCAACCATTCCAACCATTTAGACATGCTAAGTTTCTCTTACTTTGTGCAGTGTTGCTAGACAGCTTATAAAAAAGTCTTTCCACTTCCTGGACCCACTAAAAAGTTGCCCGTAGACCTCTACTTGGCTGAGAAACCTGACTGAGTGATTGATTCATCTCTGCCCTGTACCATTGTTGACCATTTTGGTATTCGGGGAGGAAATGTCTAAAAAGACCAACGTCAACCCTAAGTATAACTTAGAAATTGCAACAGAAAGTGAATTCAACTCTTTTATCTCGTTTGTGCAGAGTAAGAAGCCAGGCTTTACAGCATCATGCTCTCCAAAGAGAAGCACAAACTCCAGCCTAGGGCCAGCTCCAGATGTCAAGCCAAACTGGCCTAAGACTAGATACCCTGCCACAAGGAAAGACCGCACCCCCATGGTGGCGTACCCATCCTTACACATATACACATACCCGTAGGCGTACTTTTGCTGGGACACGCAGGTGCTGCCTCCAAAGGTTCTGGGTAGTTTTATTGGCGTTTGTTTTGTTTTGTTTCCCAGACTGTGTTGGGAACCAAACCTAGGGCACTGAGTATACTCGGCAAGTGCTTTATCATTTAGCTGCGTCTCCAGCTCCCTTGAAAAGGTTGTGGGTTATACACATTTTACGAGAGGAAGTCTATGGATGCAATGGAAGCTCTGCTTATAGTGTACCGTGCTGTGCCTTCGCCACACGCTGACCTGCACTCTCTACTCCCCTGTTGTGTACATATGGGCAGATGCATACCTCATGAATTCAGTAATTTTATTCTAAGACTAGATTATATTTTGATGTATAGAAAAGTCTTTATTGAAAGTTGAAGCATATACTCATGAAAAGACAGCATATATATATATATATATATACCTCATTTTAAGCCAATAGATGTTCCCTCTAAAGTTAGATGCAAATCAGTTTTTAAAAGATGAAACTGTTTTTAAATGTGTTTTGGGAATGTGCCATATGAAAAAGTCTATGTCAAAGTTTCCAAACGGTAAATGACCAGTCAGACTGTGGTGTTATCGGGTTTGCTCAAAATGAGGTATTTCTACATAGAAAAAAATTAAATGTATTACTCATAATTTAATGTTGCATATATTAGGTTCAACAAGGCTGTGTAAATTTTTTAAGTCAACAATTAAAATTCTTTTTCTCTGTTAGTTGTCCCTTGACTATTTTGCTACATAATCTTATGTGAACAGATTTATTCATCAGCCATTCATTTTCTATGATTCCTCATAATACCAATTAGTCTTCCAGCTACACGTCACGTCCTAATTCAGAGTCACATTAAAAAAGAGTCATTCAAATGGGCATGGGGGCTCATGCATGTAATCCTAACCCATGAGAGGTAAAAACCATGAGTTGAAAGCCTATCTGTTCTATACACCAAGTTCTAGGCCAGTCAGGGTTATGAAATATACCTTGTACATAAAAAGGGGGCAGGGGACATTCCAAGCTAGGTCAGACTGCTCATGTGTAACTCCAGCACTTGAGGCAGGAAAACTGCTGTGAGATACTGAGTTACAGAGTGAAGACTCAGTCTTAAAAATAAGAAGGGATCTAGGCAGTAGTGACACACACCTTTAATTCCCTCACTCAGGAGGCAGAGGCAAACAGAGGCACGTGGATCTCAGAGTTCAAGGCCAGCTTGGTCTATAGAGCAAGTTCCAAGACAGCCAGGGCTGTCTTGAAAAACAAAGCAAAACAAAACAAAAAAACAAAAAACAAAAAATAAAAAGGAGGAGAAGAGGAGGAGGAGGAGAGGAAGAGGAACAGCAGGAGGAAATAGAGGTAGAGAGGATTGCTTCTGTTTATGGAGGCCAACTCCTTTTAATTTTTTTTATCTTGACACATTAGCATAGTGTACATCTGGAAGTCCGAGGACAACTTGTGAGAGTTGGTCTTCTCTTACCACATGGGTTCTAGAAATCAAACTCAGATTGTCAGGCTTGGCCCCCTTGTCTGGTCTTGGAGAGAGAGGTGATGTGATCACAGCTCTCACTCGCCTTCACTTTCTTTTTAGACAGAGTCTCACGGAGCTCAGGCTGTACTCAAACTCACTATGTAGCTGAGGGTGACCTTTGACTCCTGATCCTCCTTCCTCCGCCTCCCGGGTATTGGGATAACAAGCATGGTCCACTCTGTCTTGGAAATGCTATAACAAATCCAAACATGTAAAACAATGCCTGGAAGCAGCACTGCTCAGGTTTGTGCTGGACATTCACTCTGCTGAGAGAATAGAAGCTGTGTGAGAACAGAAGTTCCAGGTGATTTGTTTCCTCCATTTGGCATTTTGTCCTAATTTGCTTTCTCTTGCTGTGATAAGTACCGTGACCAAAAGCAACTTGGGGAGGAAAGGGTTTGTTTGCTGTGTAAGTCCCCGTCATAGGGAGTTAGGACAGGAGCAGAACTGAAACAGAGGCCACGCATGAATACTGCCACTGACTTGTTCTCTGTGGCTTGCTCAGCTTGTATAACCCAAGACAACAGGCTCTTGAGTAGCACCACCCACATCAATCGTTAGTCAAGAAAATGCCCCACCAACTTTCCTATGGACCAGTCTTATGGATGCATTTCCTCAGTTGCAGTTCTGTCCTCCCATATGACTAACTTGTGTCAAGTTGACAAAAAACCAACCAATACAGCATTGAAAATACAGTAATTTGAGCTGCGCATAGTGCATGCCTGTAATGCCAGCACTCTAGAGGCTGACATAAGAGGATCACAAATGCACAAATGTAAGACCAGTCTGGACTACATATCAAATCTCTCTCTCTCTCTTTCTCTCTCTCTTTCTGTGTGTGTGTGTGTGTGTGTGTGTGTGTGTGTGTGTGTGTGTGTGTGTATTTTGGAGAGCTACCAGATACCTGACGACTCAGAAACTTTTATGATCACTAACTATAGTTATGTTGCCATAAAATTCTGTCAGCGCTGTCCTAGTCCATTTTCTGATGCTGTAACTGAGTACAGGAGATGGGTAGTTGATGGATAAAGGGCAATGATTATGAGGGCATGAGTGTTAAGAAAAGGTCGTATGCAGTTTAAACAGGCCTTGAAGCAAGGATAACCTTGAACTTCTGGTCCTTGTGCCCCCACCTTGGGAGTTCTGCCATTACATACTTGAGCTACCATGCCTAGCAGAAAATGCATTTCTCGTGATTAGGGAGTCTATGAAATCCCAAGGTAAAGCAACCACTCGTAATGACGAACTCCTTGTTGGGGCAACACTGAGTCCTGAAGCAATAGGAATTTTCACATCATGACACACAACAGGGGTGCCAGGGAGATCTTGGTCTTCTTACAAAGCCACTCCTTGCTGATCAACTCACTAATCTATGACTCTACCCACTCTCCGGGCCCAATCACCTGCCGAAGTCACACATCCAGGTACCACCAACACTGTCACACTGGAACCAACTTTCCAACACATGAGACTTGGTGGGAAAATGCCACACATGATGCTCTTTGCAGAAATAGAAATGCTAACTTCAGGCATCCCAAGCTGTTCTCACACTAATTCTGGCTTCATTATCTAGAATAGCAGAGTTGTTTCCAGGTCAGGCACTTGGCACCTTCTTCCCCAGATGCCTTTAAGCTACCAAGCCCACTCTGTCCTTTAAAGCTGAGTGTGGTGGTGAAGGCCTGTAGTCCTTTCTAGATCTTGGAATGTGGAGGCAGAAAGATGAGAGCTGAAGTCCAGCCTCAGTCACACAGCGAGTCCAAGTCTGCCTAGGCTGCAAGAGATCTGATTAAAAAAAATTTAAAGCCAGGTGGTGGTGGCACACTCCCTTAATCCCAGCACTTGGGAGGCTGAGACAGGTAGACCTCCCAAGTTTGAGACCAGTCTGGTCCACAGAGTGAGTGCCAGGACAACCAGGACTACATAGAGAAATCCTGTCTTGAAAAACAAAACAAAAAATGAATTTAAAAAGTATATAGGCTCAGTTTAATTCGACCAGTGGCATTTCTGTCCATTTCTTAGTAGAGTATTCCCACGGAGGCAAGCACAGCTCTGTTAATGCTCGTCACATCCAACATCTTTATTCTCTTTTCTTCACCCGGAGGCTGCCTCAGCAAGTATAAAACAGCCTGGGATCTACTTTCCGTGGTAAGTGGGTTCTACCTAGGCTCTGTGCAGCTGTCATGTGATCTCTACAAGCAAGCTTTCTTGTGAAATCAGGTTCAGAAGGGCATTGTTTTCATGTGTATGTTGACTGACAAGTCTATGGTGACAAAGCCCAGTACCCCTCCACATCTAGATTAATGATCATTTCATGAAGGTCATAAAGACATCAGCAACCCAAGTGTGGTATTACATGCCTGTGATACTGGATTAGGAGATGGAGATAAGAGAACCATGAACTGGGGGCCAGCCTGAGCTATATATGGAGTTCCAGGCCAGCCGTGGCTACATAGCAAGACTTTGTCAGAGAGAAAGGGGTGGTAATGAGCGTGTTAGTGAATGTAAAAGATCACCTAAGGATTCAGAAAAGGGCTTGGAGATACCTAAGTTGTTAGATCACTTGCTTCACAATCAGGAGGGTCTGAGGATGGCCGCCAGAAGACATGTTTTGTTTTTTTTTTTTTCTTTTTCGAGACAGGGTTTCTCTGTGGCTTTGGAGGCTGTCCTGGAACTCGCTCTGTAGACAAGGCTGGCCTCGAACTCACAGAGATCCGCCTGCCTCTGCCTCCCGAGTGCTGGGATTAAAGGCGTGCGCCACCAACGCCCGGCCAACATGTTTAAAAACAAAAAAGCATGCCTACATATGCAGGTGCCCACAGCAGCCCAGAGATGAGTGCCACAGAGTGAGTGCCACAACAGCCATGGGGATACACATGGTTACACATGGTTGTGAGCTACCTTGTGGGTGCTTTAATAAGTCATAAATAATATATCACCACATACTCCAACAAGGCCACACCTCCTAATGCCACTCCCTGAGCACTCAGATATATGAGCCTATGGGGCCATTCTTATTCAGACCACTACACATGTCTACCCAAGGTGGGCTATTCCTACTAATTTCATCAACCCAAAGAATGTGTGGAGTTGTGACTGACTCTAGAATTGTGATAAATACAACAGTCTGATCCAGTGTGTTTCTGACCCTGTGCTTAGGGAGCAAACACAAACTAGCATACACGAGCCAGTCAGAAATCTTGCTGGCTTTTTCACTGTGGTTAAAGCATCACCAGCTTGGAATTCAGAACACTGAGACTCAAAGCCCTCCAGGCTGGGGTGGGAAGCAAAAAGGACAGCGGCAAGATAGCTCTGGACCTTTACTTGTTGAGTTTTTATTCTGTTTGTTTGTGTGTCTGTGTGGGACAGTGTCTATCATACATGGGGTGACTATGACAGTGTCTGTCATACATGGGGTGACTATGATAGTGTCTATCATACATGAGGTGACTATGACAGTGTTTATCATACATGGGGTGACTATGACTGTATATCATACATGGGGTGACTATGACTGTGTATCATACATGGGGTGACTATGACAGTGTCTATCATACATGGAGGTGACTATGACTGTGTATCATACATGGGGTGACTATGACTGTGTATCATACATGGGGTGACTATGACAGTGTCTATCATACATGGGGTGACTATGACAGTGTCTATCATACATGGGGTGACTATGACAGTGTCTATCATACATGGGGTGACTATGACAGTGTCTATCATACATGGGGTGACTATGACTGTGTATCATACATGGGGTGACTATGACAGTGTCTATCATACATGGGGTGACTATGACTGTGTCTATCATACATGGAGTGACTATGACTGTGTATCATACATGGGGTGACTATGACAGTGTCTATCATACATAGGGTGACTATGACAGTGTCTATCATACATGGGGTGACTATGACTGTCTAGCATACATGGGGTGACTATGACAGTGTCTACCATACATGGGGTGACTATGACAGTGTCTATCATACATGGGGGTAACTACAATAGCTTAAACACATGAAGAGGGCATCAGGTGTCTTTTATTGCTCTCTACCTATTTTTCTTTTCTTTTCTTTTTGTTTTTGTTTTTGTTTTTCTTTTTTTGCTGTTGTTTTTTGGTTTTTCGAGACAGGGTTCCTCTGTGTAGCTTTGGATCCTGTCCTGGAACTCACTCTGTAGACCAGGCTG